GACTGAGCTGGTTATACGTGTGTGTGTGTGTGTGTGTGTGTGTGTGTGTGTGTGTGTGTGTGTGTGTGTTTAAATGATTGGATCTGGGACTGGAGAGATGACTCAGCAGTTAAGGGCACTGACTGCTCTTCCAGAGGACCTGGGTTCAATTCCCAGCAACCACATGGTGACTCACAACTGTCTGTAACTCCTGTTCCAGGGGATCTGATACTCTTCAGTCTTCTGTGTACTGCACACACATGGTTCACAGAAACACACATATACAAAACTCTCATACACACAAAATAATAAAATTTTAAAAATTAATTATAAATGGCTGGATCTATTAATTACACAATGGTAGAATGCCTAGGGCTCTAGATTTGGTTCCTGGCTCTAGTTTCATTCCCCAGTTCTGCAAACAAAACCCCCAGGTAATTGTAAATGACAAGAGAAACAGGGAAGTGGCCCTGACTGAAGTAGGATGAAGAGGGGCAGATTAGGGACAAATAGTGACGAGGCTTGTGGTGGCTGTAGGGGAAGTGGGCTGGGTGAGGCCATTGTCATGACACTCCATGGACCAGTGATGGATCTCAGACACATATCTGCCATGAGACGCCATCCCTGCGGGATTTAAATGACTTCATTGGCTCTGCTTTTCCAAAGATCAATGGGCAACAGTGGATGGGCTGAGAAAAGCAACCACAAGGGGATCCTTGGGACAGTGTCAGAGAAAGATAGAAAACCCAAAATTTACACAAAAACATCTGAAAAGATGACTCTGCAGATAAAGGTGCTGTGGAACCCATGTAAAGTTGCAGGGAGCGAATTCCACAAAATTGCCTGGCCTCTGCACACAACAGAAACTTTAAAAATTAAGAGATAATGCTAGGCAGTGGTGGCACACTCCTTTAATACCAGCACTCCAGAAGCAGAGACAGGCAGAGACTGCCTGGTCTATAGGTTCGGTTCAATTCCCAGCAACCACATGGTGGCTCACAACCAATCGTTACGAGATCTGGTGCCCTCTTCTGGTGTGCAGATATACAGGGAAGCAGAATGTTGTATACATAATAAGCAAATAAAATCTTTTTTTTTTTTAAAAAAAAAGAAGAAATGTAAATAATAGCAAAAACATGAAACTTTTTTTAGTACTTTTTTTTTTTTTTTGAGACAGGGTCTCACCCTGTAGCACTGGCTGTGCTCAGACTTGATATGTAAACCTGGCTGACCTGAAACTCACAGAGATCATCCAGCCTCTGCCTCCCTAGTGCTGGGATTAAATCGTGTGCCACCATGCCTAGCTTTCTTTTTTTTTTTTTTAATGATTACTTGTAATTCTGTGTGTGCTCTTGGGTGTGTCTGTGTGTGCACATGACTGCAGGTGCCTGTGGAACAGGTGCAGCTGTGGAGCTGGCTCTGTGAGCTGTCTGATGTGGGTGCTAGGAACCAAATCCGGGTCCTGTGAAAGAGCAGTATGCACTTAGGCCTTGTCTCTCAAGCCCCTGAAATAATTCCTCAAGCTTCTTGTTACGAGACCTCCATTAAAGAGATCTCGTCAGTGATTCCTGGGTGCTGGGCTCATACTTGCACTTTCTTCGCACTTCAGCAACAGTCTTGAAAGAATCTCAGTCACACGAACTGTTATAAATATGTGTGTGACCAATACACAGAATGGGTTATTTGATAATTCTGAGACAATGTCATTTCCACTCAAGTTTCTTCACCTTCACCTTGCTGAGCTGTTCACGAAGCTTGTTTTCAAAAGCTTAAAACCTCACACACACTTTTTAGTAGCGTGATGAATCAGCGTAGGGCCAGCTTGTATGAGGAGTGCATTTTGGTTCAGGCGTGCACTCTAAAGTGTTTTGCGGAGGACTGGGGCAAGTCTTGTTTTGGAAGCCTGTCCTGTGGCAGTGTGGCAACTAAAAACTAGCCAGTTTTGCCATCCATACTTAAGAAAACCTAAGACTCCCTTGCAAATCTTCTAAACAGCCACTGGGGGGCAGTATGGCAGCCATTAAAAAAATCCAGGAGCTCTAATGTCATGAGACCTTAGACTTTCTATTTAAAAATTCTGTACCTCAGTTTCTTGGCTAAGAATAGTACCTATCACATGGTGGGGGTATCATGAGCATTACTGGGTAGCTATACACCTATACATAGGCCTGGGTACTGTCTCAGAGTAAGCACTTAATGAGTTATCTATGAGAATATTAATAGTATTTTTATAGAGTTAAATTAATTACTATTAGTAGTCTTCTATTAGTAGGCTGTTATACCCAAAATTGTGGCTCTAAACTGTTCCCCAAAGGTATCAGACATCAGATAGGAATGCTATGTCATCACTCCCATTGCAGGCCACCTGGGACCTGGGACAAATGAATTCTGAAGTGGACTTTCCCTTCCATGATTTTCCAGACACTGGAGCTGGGGGTTCACAGTCCACTCTCCTGGGGAGCTGGGGAGGGCATTTCACAAGGGCAACCCAAGGAAGGAGTCTGGCCGTAGAAGGCCAGGCTGATTCCCAGCCTATGGCTGCCTTCTCAGCTAGCCATTTCAGGAAAGAGTGACACGCTTACTCTCGGGGGCTACAGACTCATGACTGAGCAGGAGAGAGCACCTTGGAAGCTGGCCAGCCAGCCAGAGTGTGTTCCAGCAATAAACTATAGGCTAGTGAAGGAGAATCTTATTAAACACACCTGTCCAGTCATCATGCCCAGAAGGCACTGAGGGGCATTCTCAATGTCACCACTACATTGTAAACGAATTCAAGTTTTCAAAGTGATTTTTTTCCATCCACTTTTTTTTTCCCCCCTGGAGAACTTCTTAGGAAGAGTCATTGTTGTCAGATGAGAGATCGGAGTCTGCAGAATCCAGTCACCTGTCCAGATCTTTGTACCAAGAACACCTCAGCACTGCACCACACTGGAGGCTCTAGACCAGTGGTTCTCAACCTGGGGGGTGAGACCCCTTTGGAAGTCGACCGACCCTTTCACGGGGGTCACCTAAGACCATTGGAAACACAGATACTTTCATTACAAGTTATATCGGTAGAAAAATTACAGTTATGAAGTAGAAACAAAAATAATTTTATGGTTGGGGGTCACCACAGCATGAGGAACTGCATTAAAGGGTCTCAGCATTAGGAAGATTGAGAACCACTGGTCTAGAGGGACCAAGGGGTTGGGCATGGGCTAACGGGGTCTGGAGCCTATATGACCTACCATGCCGAAGAAATAAACAATCATACGCATGGTTCCAGAGCAGCTACAGAGGCTTTTGTGCCATTTCCTGACTGTGCCCCTTTACACACCCAACCTACTTGGGTGGAGGGTTCATCCGAGCCAGGAGCAGCAGGCTGCCCCTGGGACCTGCTGGGACAAAGTTTCATCTTCATCCCAGGAGAGGGGTGGCTCTTGTTTGTGGAGCCACTGATACTAGGTGGAACTTAGTGACTGCATAGTTCCCAGCAGGGGCCTGTCATGGCTCTGGTCTAATGAAGGCTGCAGATTGAGGCTCAGGGTCCAGAATGTGACTAGCTCTCCCATGCACATCCACCTCCTCAGAGGCGTTTTCCTTTCAGTCTGATTAAAAAAAAAAAAAAACCAAAAACCAAAAAGTGTGTGTGTGTGTGTGTGTGTGTGTGTGTGTGTGTGTGTGTGTGTGTGTGTGTGTGTTTATGTGTACACGCACATAGAGAATGCCTGCAGAGGCCAGAAGAGAGCACTGAATCCCTTGAAGGTGGAGTCACAGGCCATTGTGAGACACTTGACGTGGGTGCTGGGAACCTAACTCAGTTCCCCTGGAAGAACAACTTTTAACTACAGAGCTATCACTCCTGTCCCAAATGGTTTAAGATTTACTTTTATTTTAGTGTGGATTTTGCTTGTATGTGTGAGTACTGTAGGCATGCTTGGTGCTCACAGAGGTAGGAAGGAAGACGGAGGGCATTGGGTTCTCTGGAACTGGAGTTACAGTTGCCAGCTGCCATGTGGATACTGGCACCTGAACCTGGGTTTTCTGTAAGAACAGCAAGTTCTTAACCACTTAACTTAATCTCTCTGTTTTATTGTTTGTTTTGGAGACTGGGTCTTGCTATATAGGCTAACATCTAACTCGTGATTCTCTTGCCTCAGTTTTCCAAGTGCTGCGATGCCCAAAGGTGTCTGCCTTAAGCCCATGTTTGGTACTGACTCTTCCTGATTCACACGTAATACCAGGTTCACAGCTCTTTGAGTTTATCACCAACCTATAGTGCCTGCTAAAGAGAGTATCCATGCTCGTGCTATAGGGGTGTGACGACCTTAAGGGTTACTGCCTGATTTGTTTGTTTTGAAGACAGGGTCTCTCTCTGTAGTCCAGGTTGGCCTGGAACTTTCAATCCTCCCACCCCTCTTCCATGTGCTGGGATCACAGGTGTGCCCTGTGCCCTGTGCCCAGCTTCATTTGGCTTCTTGCGTCATTCCACACTCAAGATTTCCAATGGAGGTTGAATAGAACCCTTCACACTTGGCAAATGCCAAAGGGCTTAGCCTAGAGAACTGAGGTGCTCTTTCTGGTCCTCAACAACCATCACCCCAACACACCCTCATGCTCTAAAACAGTCAGAGAGCAATGTGCAGCAATTGAGAAAGGTTGGGGTCTTTTTTCTTCTGTGATCTTACCATCCATGTCAGAGGCAAACCAAGGAAAGTGCCAGTGGAGAGCCTGATGCTTCCATTACCCAAACCTCAATCTGATGAGGTTAGCCTGCCACCTCCCCAGCTCCAGACTGATGAGGTTAGCCCAACACCACCTCAGCTCCAGACTGAAGACACTCTACTGTGAACTCTGAAGACTTGTTTTGGAAGGAAGCTGAGAAGAGCAGCAGAGGTGGTTACAGGGAAGAGCTGTCACAGGTGTTGTGCTTGTCCCAGCCCCTCAGCACTGCTCCCTTTTCCATCAAGTCTGTAACCTGTGGACCCCCAAGGGCAGGGCAGCAAAAGCCGGCACAGATGCAGAAAGGGACACACACACCATAGGTACAAACCATTCATTTTATTTCTGGTATTGATTTATACAAACTTGCAAGATACAAATGCAGAGCTCAGTGGGATTCTTTAGTACCTAATCTAGTAAGATTGACACTGAAAGGAGGGAGCAAGCTCTCACCTACCTCAGCCAGGCGCCCCCTCTCCAGGGGAGCATGATGGGCTAGACAAATGCTCAAGAGATGCTACAGCCATGTGGTCCCAACAGAGAAGCTGTTCATCTAACCTTAACTCTTTGTCTAAGGTCACTTTCATACTAAATAGAGACACTGAGATAAATTTCCTTGTATGGTTTATTGTCTAACACTAGCAAATCAAATTGGCCCCAAATATGTGCATAAATAGATATGTATATATATATATATTTATATAGTATTTTTCCTTAGTTTTAAGAGCTGCCAGGAGGAGGGTGCCTGATGGGGAAGGAAGGGATTCCATCTTGCAGTAGCAGCCCTGACCCCAAGAACATGTCTTTCCATAAAGGCAGGAGAGCACACTTGCTGCTTGCAAGCTTGCTTCCCCAGAAGAGTCTTTAAAGTGACAGTAGCAATATTTGATCGCAGCCTCTTGGTTTTTGGTGGAAGAGGTAATGTGTTAATTGGGAAGGCCCTAAATGGGTAGCCAGGACTTTCCCCAGAAGGGGTGCTCAGCCCTAGGCTTATAGCTGGGCCCTGTTCATTCATAGCAAGAGGCTTGAGGCTGGGAAGAGGGCCAAAAAATGCCAGATTTGGAGGTCCGGTATCAAAGGCTGGCCAGAGTGCTGGAAAATTCCCAAACAATCATTTCAGATATGGGGTGAGGACACCATCCTACTCAAGTCCTTGCCAGGCTAGAACCTCCTTGCTCACTTCACCTGTCAGAAAGCAATTTGAAAGGCTGACCTTTCAGGCCAGGACTCCAGCCCACAGCCTGCCAAAGCACTGAGGGCTTCTTCTTGGGAAAGACGAAGGTGTGACATTGACTGTGGGGCCCTTCCCCAGCCAAGAATGAGGCTTCAAGTCTGGATGCCAGACCAATGTGCCATTTCTTCCCAGAAAGAAAAGTCCTAGGGGGAGATGGGTGTGACACAGAGTTCGCTCAAGAGAAAGTGTGTGGGAGGCCCAGGAGCTCATAGTATTCACCAAAGAACACAGAGGGTCCCAAGCCACTGTCTCTGGGCTTCACCTTGTATCTTGGGTCTGTCAGGAAGCAGACTGACACCCTTCAAACTGGCTAGCATATGCTGCCAGCAACCTGTTAGCCTTTTCTCAGAGGTGGTCCAGGGGCCCATGCGAGGACTGCATGTCTGCAGTTGTAAACATTTCCTTCATGTCACAAGCCTGACAACCCTTGGGCTGCCTCCTAAAGTTGACGGTGAAGTCAAATTCTTAGACTAGGACTTTCAAAAGAATGTCCTGCTCCTGCAGGATGCAGCTGTGATGAGCCTGGGGACCAGCCCTTTACAATTACTGGGTAACAGGAAGGAAGCCACTGGAGTAGAGGGAAGGACATAGACCCAGCCTGGGGACAGCCACCTTAGTTTCCTCACACATCACCAGTCCCCTTCAGACATTGCACATTTTGAAAATAGATCTGTTTTTTAAACAAAGGCATAAAATAGGTCTGCCTTAAAGTAAATCTTTCCTCTTCTTCTTTGGATCAAAAAGGCAAGGGGCGTGGTTTCAACATGCTAAGAACGGTGTGATCGGGCCAGGAGCTGAGAAAGGACTGACATCCAGACAAATATATATGTAGATATATATTACATGGGTCTCTATGACATGATAACTTCCATAAAACATATATTAAGGCATGTAAAGCAACATAAGAGTCAGCTTTATGAAATATGGGGTGAGAGTGGCAGAAGAGGCGCAGACGTTTCTTGGTATTTCACTTGTATTTCTAAAAATACCACTTCCTTTAAAAAGGAGAGACAAACACAGGGAAGCTCTAAAAATTTTGTTTCTTGTGGAAGAGGGTATTGGGAAAGAGGCTAAACTGGGAGCTAGTCCCACCTATCATTCTTTAAGGAAGGAAGGGCATGGTTTGGGTGCTTGGACTGTGTAGATAGGGCATGTCACCAAGGAGCACTTTCCAGAAGCCTGACAGGGTAAATACAGGTGGAATCCTCCAGATCTCAGAAGCAAGACAATATCCTAAGCACCTGAAACAGTACCTGATACACAAAAAGTGCTTGACTAGTATTTGTTGAATGAATTGTCATCTTTACTTGCATATGAACCAGTAACTGTCCCAACCATGAAGGAGCAGTGATGAACTGATGGGATATGATGCAGTTGTTTCTTGGGACCACCACTGATGCTCAGGCTGAAGTCTATGGGCAGCAACTCTCGCAGAGCAGGCCTGGAGACTGGTGTCTGCAGCTGGCCTTCCTTCACTGCCCTCTGGCTACATTCATTCAAGGTAGGTGGAATAGAGGAAGACTATACTCTGCTCCCGTCTCTCCACATCCTGCCCTCCCTGGGTAGATGGGTAATAAGAAAACCCAGCCTCTGGTCCTGCTCTGGATGCCTGAGATGAGTGAGGACCTAGAACCTGGCCTCACACTTAAATCCCCATTCCCTCCTCCCAGGGCTAAACCTCAGCTGGCTCACAGTACTCTCCAGGTTTAAATGGGTCAAGAAACTGATGAGGTAAGGCCCCAAGGCTGACAGGAAGACAGACAGTAAGACAGTCCTCTCTGCCCACAACCCTAGGAGAGAGACAAACAGGCCTTGACACAGAAGGGCCATCTCTCAGGCCATCTCAACCCTAACATCTTCTTCCTCAACACCTTGCTACCAAGCACCTCAGTTGGGGCTGATGTGTGCCTGGCAAGTCCTCCTGGGGCCACCTGCTCCTGAGGAAGATGTGAGTACATAGGTGACAGTCAGGCCCTCTGCTTGGCACTAGCCTAAGGCTCCACTCTAGGGAAGCCATTCCTATTCTCCCTTCCCATTTTCCTCCTTCCTTACATTCCCATTGCTCGTAGAAAGCATCCAACTTTCTCTTCCTTCAGTCTCCAAGCCTCTCTCCTCTTCCATCTGCTCCTGCTTCCAACTTGCCCTCAGACACTGCACAGACCTGCTGTCCTCTATCCATACCACACCCGACCTCTCCAGGAGCCCAGGGGCCTCCCCCTAGCACTCATCATCTTCTCTTTGGCTCACGCATGGCTGCTGGTCTCCAGTGAACTCTGGGAAACCCATCAGCAGAGCCGTGTCAAAGCCTTGGGCATCGCTGAGGCAGCTGGGACTGAAGGTGAGGGAGATGATGGCAAGAGTTGGCCTCTCATTGTGTTGTGTGGGTTCCAAGGGATAGAGTCTGTCTTGTCTTCACTTCTAGTCCTCACCCATAGCTGAGGGCATGCTCCCCACCAGGACACGGTCTCCATCAGAGCATGGTGCTGGAGGGCCACACAATGCCATCTGGAACTGCACTTGAGCTCCCTGTGACTTCCTGGGGCATCATAGAGAATGACACCTTGGCCTTGCCATCCCAGGTCTTGCTTTAGAACCATGGCATGACAGTGCAGGCTTCAGGACAAGGGCAGCAGATGTGAAAAGGCATCCATGCTCCTTTCTAAGCCCCCAGCCTGGCTCCCCAAGGCATTCCCATGGTGGGTGCAAGGGCAGGAGGCCAGGATGAGGAGCCAGAGTCCCAGGTGTGCTATCAGAAGGTGGCCCTGTGGAGCTTCACAGCATTGGCCTCAGCCAGGGCTTGCACTGAAAAAAAGAGAAGCAGGTGAGAAGGGAACACAGGGCTACAGCTGGAGAGAGTGGAAGGGAGGGGAAGAAGTCAGGTTCTTTTCCATCCCTAACACAAGGCTCTGTGCTGTCAAGGGAGGGAAGAGCAAAGCCAGTCTCTAACACTTCTCCCAGCTACATTAATGTCTACGAGTGGGGACTCAGTTTCTAGGGGCTTCTTAGGGTTCTGTGGCAGGATCGCCATGGATCTCAAAAGATGGAAGCCGATCAGCAGACGGGAAGTGTAGGGTGGCAGGTTCAGAGGTAGGGGCAGGGAAGTACCTTCCCGAGCAGCAGACAGGTGTGGACTTGGCACCATTCCCTTCTGCTTGCCAAGAAGCAGAGTCATTGGCATTGCCATATCTAAGAAGCAGCATGGCCAGCCACCTGCAGCCAGTACTGCTCAGAGACATTGGTGGCTCAAGCAGACAAATGGAGGGGGACACTGCGCATAGGGCACCAGGGTGGGGGAAAAGCAATGAGAGGGCATAGATGACTCAGTGGGGTGAGGGAAGGGCCCCCCTCCCTGGGGGTGCTCGAAATACCGTAAAAAGTGCTTACGTCAGAGCTCAGACCCGCATGGTATGGCTGCTGCTGCTGTCGGCGCCCCGCGGGCGTTCAGACGATAGGGGGTTGACTGGTGGAGTCGGGGAAGCAGGGGAGGTGGGAGGGCTTGGGGTGGCACATTGCACTGGAAACAGAAATGAACAGGGCGGTGAATAGAAGACAAAGGGTATTGGGGAGGAGACTGGGCACCCAGAGCAAGCGAGGCCACTCCCTGGACAGGGAGCAAGGCAGGGAGGCAAGCAGAGAGAGAAGAGCTGGGCTGGGGAGCTTGCTCAAGCAGAGGCGAAGCTGTCTTTATTCCCAGGGTGCAACGGAGGATAGTGAAGCCCCAGAGGAGACCTGGCCAAACCCAGGCTCTGCTAAGAGCCAGGGTGATGGTGCATGAGGCTGCACCCCGTTCTGGGGCAAAGACTCCCTTCCCATCCACACTGGGAGAGTCATATTCTGCTCTAAACAAACAGAATGAAGGCATTGTTGCCTCACATCATCTATGGCAGTTTCACTCACGATAATGATTAATAGTGCAGTAAAATCTCATCAGGCCACAGCGTCGGCTCCCTACTTAACAGAGAAGTAGGACAGCCACCATGATAATCATTTCCAAAGAACATGGTTTCCCAATAGGCATAAAGTCATCTCTGTCAACTTTGGTGTGAGCAAGGGCTCAGACGTAACACCCACAATCACGAGCGACGCTGCTCTGACCAACCCAGCAGAGGACCTCCAGTGCACTCGTGAACAATCATTTTAAACTTTGAAATCGTGACATTTGGACTGATGAGATTTTACTCTATCATCATTATCTCATGTGAAGAAGAGCAAAGGGGAAAGAATGACAAGGTGGATCCTCTAAGTGGCCACTAGACTCTTGCACATCCTCAGTGTAGCCGAGGCAGAAGGATGGCAGAATGTCCTCACTTGGGCTCAGAGAGGAACCAGACCTCAGCCAGGAGTCATGCTGCATTTCCAAGATGTGACATTAAACTTCCAAATCCTGCTCCCCACCCTGGCATCACCTTCTCTGACTTCTGTGCAACACAGGACCCATGTGGTTCCTACTATTGCTATGGGCATGTCCCCGAGTGTGTTCATAGCCCAGGTTGCTCAAGTGGATGTGAGATCATGTCTACCCCACATACTGCCATTTGTGCCTGGGATCTGACAACGCCACATGGTTACACTCATTTTACACAACTTAAATATGTGTCTGTGCACTTTCAAGCCTCAATGTTTCCATATGACCCAACGTCCTTGTCACATCATAGGCAAAAACACTCACAAACGCTTTCCAACACACTCATGTACATGTCCACATCACTAAAGGAGGGTTACTTATGGGTCATGTTCAGATTCTAAAACAGTCAAAAACTCAACAAGGAGGCAAGGAGACTCCCTGGGAAGCCAAAACAGATGTTCTAACATCTGCCTAGTGAGGTTCTTGCAAGTGGAGTCCAGTCGTTGTTATTCACAATTCTAATAGGTGTTGACCTATCAGTGTTCTGATCCATAGATTAGAAACAGGGACTAGAAAAGGGAGAGAGAAAGAGGTGAGTTGAAAGCCCCGTGTACTCTAAGAAGGCACAAATGAAGAGAATCCCTTTTCTGAGAGGTAAAGACAACATGGAAGTTACAGAGACCATGCTTAGTTACAGAGAGAGCCACACGGAAGGGTTGCCATTCCTGGGGGCATGCCTTCAACAGAAGTCAGGAGCATAAGGCTATTGAGAGCAGTAACTGAGGAAGGAAAAGGCAGTTATGTGGATGTTATCTCTTTAAGGAAACAGACCTGGATAATATATACCAAGACTATATCCACTGAAACAAGTTAACTTCAAATGTGAAGCAAGTACATACTGGGCAGATGTGGTCCTACAAGGTATGTTCACCTGCATGCGTGAGAGGCCACACACACTCATGAGTACATCCGACTCTCACCTTGCACACAGACTGTTCACAGTGCTACAGAGTGTCCACTGTGCACAACATATGGGACAGGCCTCAGTCATTCCTGACACATGTAAAGCCAGTCACACATAAATATGCATGTTCGTAGATGTTACCTCCACCGGCACACTGTGCACTCACATCACACACACACACACACACACACACACACACACACACACACACACACACACAATGCATTCTTACATTTACCCGAGAACATTTCTTCCACCTATATATCAATCATCTGAACACACACAGACACACATCTGCAAACATTACCAGATACAGACAGTGTACACGACATCTGTGCCAGGTACACAGAATCTTGTGCCAGCCTCTTCTCGTAGGGTACAACATGTAGCAGCCGGCTAGACTTACAAAATAGAGCACTCTTCACCGGTTATGTTGTCCATGAAACACTCACCCTTTTAGCTCTACACGCCATGCCTGCTGTTCTGTGCCCAACTGTTCTCCCTCCCAGTGTCCTGAGTATGAACCTACGCCCACACTGCATGTGCCCAGAACTAGTTCTTGCTCTGGGGCCTCTGGGCCATGGGCCAATGATAGCAGGGACAGCGGGCTAGGTCTGAGGTCTGGCCCTACCATAGCCACGTTTTGAATTGTTGGGGGTTTTGGCAAAAGCACAATGACCATTTGCTTTCAGCACACAGACCCTGAAATGTAAGCCCATGTGCTGTCAGGAAAAATCTGATAGGCCCTAGAGGTTTGTTTTCACGAAACCTGGACTGTCGGGTAACAATGGAGAAAGCCAGGTGCCTGGCAGGCTAGAGGGGAGTTTTTAAGCATCATATGTGCTGCCCTTCTGAAACAGGAAGTGCCTTTTGCCCAAAGCATGTGAGATTCGGTTCAAGTTCAATTTAGGTTCAAGTTCCTTTAGCGACTAAAGCAAGGAGAGGTCACGGGAGGTCTCCCTGCCTGCAGCCAAACTGGTTCTGCTGCCTTAGCTGCAGGGAAGGAGATGGTCCCTCCTGGCTCTCAGCACCAGTCTGTGGAGCCTCCAGGGCTCCCCCAGCCTTTCATCCCCAAGTTCATCACTCCCTACACAACAGCAGGTTCTCCAGGTTTAACTGCTATCTTCCTTGTGACTTACAGCCCTCTGATTGTGATTGTATTAGGAACAGGACAGAGGGTTCTCACCTTCAGCTCTTAACTGACTCACATAGCTCTGCCAGCATTGCAGCACAGCCATTGTCACGGCACTAAAGCCCCAGCACTGTGCAAGGAGCTGCCATCGGCTGCTTCAGACCCTTGTGTCCTCTGAACTGACGGCAGTGAGGAAATGGAGGCTCCGAGTGCCATTTGTCACCAGCGCAAAGCAAAGCACCGTCCCTTCCACGGGGCTCCCGCTTCCATCCTTATTTGCTTGCTCCTGCCTCGTCAGGACGGCCTTAACTATGGCCTGTAACCTGGTCCCTCTCATTTCTACTGGTCACCTTAAGCCATGGCTAAATTCATGTCATTCCTCCTAACTGTGGCCACCAAAGTTCACACTTGGTGGGCGTGGGTTACATAGCCAGACCCTGTCTCAAAAACAAAACAAAATTAAATGCTCCTACTCTTGGGGGATGAGCTAACTGCTGCCATTCAGACAGACTCCCCCTCATTCAAAGCCCAGCGGCATTTCCAGGGTGCTGCTCTAGCCCGTGGAAGCTAATCCTGGGGAGCTCAACACTAAGGTATCTAAGTGGGACTCCTGTGTCGGTGTGAGGTCACTTCTTCTTCCTTGTCTCTTCTTAGCTGGAAAGTCAATTTGGGTCAGCAGCCAAGGTGGAGAGGGAATGGCTCTCGGGTCCTCAGCTGCTTTGTTTGTCATCTCGTAAGAAGGAAGAAAAATCAGATGGAAACCGGAACACCTGGCCTTCTCACCCCTGGGGGCAAACATGCCTATGCTTCCCAAGGAGGCTCCGTCTACTTCACTTTTCTGTGCTTTCCAGGGGCAGATGGCTCCGAGTTCCCTGTAGCCTCTGACCGGTCCTCTATAAAGTGGCTATGAGCATTACGAGAATTGAGCCCCTGGAGGTCATACACTCTGGCCCCTTTGGACTGAGCCTAGCACAAACCTGGCGGCTCTAGTGACTGCTCAATATGACCCTGAGGGCCGTCTCCTTGGCCTGGCGTCTCTCTGAGCCTGCACCCCTGGCAGTACTGCGCTTCCTCCCCTACACCTGGTCAGCTGGTGTCCCTGGCAGAGCGAGGCCCAGCCCCTCTCACCAGACAGCATGCGGCCCCGGCGGGGGGCCTGGGTGGCCAGGGCACAGGAGATTTCAATCCGCTTTTCCTGCTCCTGCAGCTGGCTCTCTGAGTCCTGGGGCACGTCCACAGAGTCCCCCTCGCCGATGGGCACCACGTTCTGCATACTAAAGAGGCACAGACACACAGACATGGAGGGAGGGACAGCATGGTCCAATTGGCTTGGGGTGGCCTGCAGCTGAGGTTGGTGGGGAGGGCCAGGGGCCTTTGTGTGTGCAGCCTCTGTGCCCAGCAAGGCTGTCCCTAGATTCGAGGGAGACCCTGAATGTTGGGACACCTACATTCAATGTTTCCAAATAAATTTTCAAAGGCTCAACTAAACATGTGGGGTAGCCTTGAAGTGGGGGAGGACGAGCGGAGGCATCCTCCAGTTTGTGCAGGTCTTTCTGGGGCCCAGAGGCAGCATCCTCATTTCTACCAGATGCCTGGATATAGTCTGCAGCTCCTGGCCACCGCTTGTGTTTTCTCTACCCTGGGGAGACAAGGTGCCTCCAAGACCTCTAGTACCCAAGGAGCCTAGGTACAGGGAGGGCAGTGGAATGGAGGCTCGTCTAGGCCTGTCACCTGGATTTGGCAATGAGCGTCTTGATCCTCTCGACTTTCTTCTGCTTCTCCTTCAACTCCTCAGGGCTCAAGGGAGTGTCTGGTTCCAGGTCAATGTACCGTTCAGGAATGAGGACTTTGTCTGGAGTGGAGAGCTGTGGAGGGCCGGAGGTTACCACCTGCATCCCCTCCCTGGCCAGCACCCTCCCTCAGCTCCATCCCGGGTCCACTCACCTCCTTATTGATGTCCACATCATAGTGCTGGGGCTCCAGCTCCATTTTGCGAAGCCGGGCAATTTCCTCCCGGGGCGTCTCGTAGGCCTGGCCGCCAGGCTCCTCGGCCCTCAGGGCTGCCTCCAGGTTGGAGATGTCTACTTCGTGGATGCTTCGGTGACGGCGCACCTGGGGGATAGCACTGCCATGACCAAATCACTTTTACCTATGTCTGCCTCCAGGCAGATCTTACTATTCCTGTATCCTTGTCCCCAGCCAGCATCCTTGGTCAGGCTCTCACTGACCTGCACTGCAGAGCCACCACCTCCCTTCTCTCTGCTTCTCTGCACCTGCCTACAGCAAGGCCCAGAGTTACAATCTCAGTAGTTTCTCTTGTCAATGCTCACTCCTGTACTTGCAGTATGTACTGGGCACCTGGGGCAGTAGAAGCAGTGGGTCCCCTATTGATTTCTAATGGTTTCACGTGATAGAAGTTCTGACCTATCAACTTGAGCAAAACTGTATGAAGGTAGGATTTGCATCATGCTTCTTCTCTATTTTTGAAACTTACTATAAAGAAAAGTTAAGTAGATGCCTTGGCTACACCCTTGCCTACACCAAGGCTACACCTCTGTACTTTCTCTTGACTTGATTTTCCTATCTATAAAGCAAGGGTGGCAAATGTGAAATCATTGCTGTCACTGATGGAGTTAAAGAAAAATAGATGGTTCCATGAATAGTGTTGCTTAGGGAGCTACTATGGCTGTCTTCAGGGCACCCAGGCCAATGCTCCCCTCCGCCCCCCACACACAAGGCATCCAGAATCACATAAAAGTGATGGCTCTTTCTACATGATGGATTTTGCACTATTCTCTACCAAATTAATTTTTCTTTTTAATTGTGTGTGTGTGTGTGTGTGTGTGTGTGTGTGTGTGTATACATGCACATATAGTATGTGTATGTGGGTTCTTGCTGAAGCCAGAAGAGGTTTGGATCTCATGTAATTAGAATTACAAGCAGTAGCCAGGTGGTGGTGGTGGTGTATGCCTTTAATACCAGCACTCGGGAGGCAGAGGCAGGCGGATCTCTGTGAGTTCAAGACCAGCCTGGTCTACAAGAGCTAGTTCCAGGACAGCCTCCAAAGCCACAGAGAAACCCTGTCTCAACCCCCCTCCTCCCCCCAGAAAAGAATTACAAGCATGTGAACCATCTGATGTTCAGAGGAACTGAACTCCAGTCCTCTGCAAGAGCCACAAGTGCTCTTAAACACTAAATGAATTTTTGAATGCTTCATTTCAGCAAAAACATCCATCATTCTTTTTTTGGCATTACTTTTCATTAAACATAAAGAGAAAACACAGGCTGAAGGAACTCTTTTCAGGGAAGTATCCCAGGAGCCCTGCTAGGTTCTCCTCAGTCTTCTCTCTCTTCAAGCTCCCTGGCTCAGGCTGGCCATGGGTTGAGAGCATTAGTGTGGACAAATGGCAGACTCAGGTCTGTGGGCAGCTGAGGGGACATTACCACTTTGTAGGTAGGCCGGGTGCTAGGTTCAGGGGCTGGGCTGGCAGGAAGCTGCAGGCTCCTCCGCTTTTCCTTCATGGAGCCACTCTGATGCCGCCTCATCCGGTCAATCTGCTCCTCCACACTCATCTTCACTTTGCCCTCTCCCGAGAATACAGCACTCTTGGGACGTTCTTGCTGTAGTGAGGAGACCAGGCTCTGTCAGGTGTTCCCCACCCCACCACGCTTCCCATCTCTCCAAGTGCTCAAAATATTCCTTCTATAGGTAGCCTGCCCATAGCGGGCTGAACAATGGTTACAGAAAAATATGTCAAATTTATTCTGGCCCTGGGTGCCCGCAAATGTGATTTTATTTGGAAACATGAGATCATCTTGAATCAGAGCTGACTTGGATCCAATAGCAACTGTCCTTGTAAAAGATAGACAAGATGACAACACAGAGCAGAAAGGGGGTGATAAAGATGGAGGCAGAGACTAGAACGATTCACCAACATGCAAACAAGTGCCAAGTGGATTAGCTGGATCCACATGCAGAAGAGAGGCCGGGCGGATGGATCCTCCCTCAGCACTGTCAGCAGTGCCAACCCTGCCAGCACCTTCTTTACAAACGAAGAACAGATTTCTGTTGTTCTAAGCTACATAGTACATGGTAATTTGTTTTGGGAGCCCCAGGAAGCCTGCAAAGACTGGGATACTAGGAAATGTGGTGCTAAGAACTACTTAGCATAGTAGAAGAAACTTCAGGATCAAGAAATAGGTAAAGGCTGAGAGAATTCAAGGTGAATCACGAGGGGAAAAATCCTAGATTTCGTTGGTAGAAATGGGGACTTCAAAATGATGCTGGTGAAGAAAAGAGAAGGTAAAAGAAGAGAACCTGGGCGTGGTGGTGCAGGCCTTTTGTCCCAGCACCCAGGGTACAGAGGCAGGAGGATCTCTGTGAGTTCAAGGCCAGCCTGTTCTGCATAGCAAATTCTAGGTAAAGGGCTTTATAGTGAGGTGCTGGCAATAAAACAAAAGTAATAAAGGAAAAACAGGAGGTTTCTTTTATCTTAGAGTAAAGTCATACCACAACAAAACACTGGCAAAGGAGCTAGAGAGATGGCTCAATGGGGAAACAGGTGCATGAGGACTTGAGTTTGAATCCCCAGAACCCACACATGCTCCTGTGCTCCTGTGATGAGATGGGAGGCAGACAGGAGCTTGAGTGCTGGCTAGCCTGGTGTATGCAGCAGCAAACATCAAGAAACTGTCTCAAACAAGATGGAAGGCAAGGGCCAACACCTGAGTCCTCTGAATTCCACATATGCACTGTGGTGGGTGCTGAATGCCTGTACACACACACACACACACACACACCATAACACTCATCATACCCATACACCAAATACCACATACACACCACACATCACACTATACCACACAATACACACATCACACACATACACCACATACCACACACATACCACATCACACAATACACACATTAAACACACACACAATATACACACATATCATGCACAGACATCACACACTCACATCATACACATACACCACGTACCACACATCACACTACACCACACAATACACATATCATGCACATCACACACACAAACATCACGTACACATCATATACACACACCACACAACCACACACATATCACACACACACACATCACACTATGCCACACAATACACACATTATACATACGTTAAACACATACATCATATACACACACACCACATACACATATCATACACACACAACACACAACCATACACATCACACACACATCATACACACAGCACATTACACTATACAATATACATGATACACACATTAAACACACACATCATATACACACACATCACACACACATATTATACACACACAACTCACACAATCACACAGTACCATACAAACACATATCACACACACACACACACACACACACACACACACACACACACACACACACTCACACACACTCACAGAAAAGCAGATGTTAAAGATACTTCCAGTGAAGTTGCAGAGGAAGTGAGGGGCATGCCATTGGACAACAAACTCTCTTTGCCATAAAATTGCAGAAACTTGGCTAAATGTGCTTCATTGTAGGATGGAAAGCAGAACTGGTAAGTAGTCTGTTTGGATATTTAGCTGGGAAGATTTCCAAGCAAAATGTTGTAAAGTGTGACCAGCGCTGGGTAGCAGTGGCACAGACAGGAGGCAGAGGCAGGCAGATCTCTGAGCTTGAGGCCAGCCTGATCTACAGAGTGAGTTCCAGTACAGCTAGGGCTACACAGAGAAATCCTGTCTTGCAAAACAAAAAGAAAAGAAAAGAAAAGAAAAGAAAAGAAAAGAAAAGGAATGAGAAGAAGAGTGTGACCAGAAAGAAATTGGCAAGCACTGGTAAGGAAGAACACCGTTTAAGAGGACCAGGGATATCTTGCTGAAAAGCCGAAGACCGGTGATCAAATCAAGCATCTCGGGAGCCAGAAATAGAGATGGGCCACCCAAGAAGGCGCTGAAGAGACCCCTCCATGGACAGTACTGATCCCTTTAAATCCAGCAGGGCCACCTGTGCTTGAGAATGCTATCAGACCAACTCTACCACTTTGTGGATAAAATGAGAATGTAGAGAAAAAAAGCTATCAGATTCTGGAGGTGATAAGAGCAAGAAATTGGCTAACAGAGCTTCTTAGCTACAAATATCAGCTACCCCCTCAAGAAAAGTCAGGCTGACCCTGAAAGAAAGACCAATGTGGCACCAAGGGCTGGAGGAGCCTTCATCCACACATCGGCAGGACAGTGAGCCCCAGAAAACTATCCTTAGGCCGTAGGACCTGAGGCCATAGCTTAGAGGTACAGCATTTGGCCAGCAGGCACAGGCTCTGGGGTTTGAACCCTGGTACTGGCAAAACAACAACTTTCTTGAGGCTGGAGATCCTTCAATTCCTTCTAACTTCTCTTTGGGGACAAGAATGATTCTTGGGGACCAGGGAGCTAGCTCAGCTAGTGAAAGCTAGCTGTGCAAGACCAATGCCCCAAGTTTGATCCCTGGAAACCATGTAAAAAGCTGGATGTGGTGGCAGTCACCTGTAATCTCACTACTACTACCCGGAAATGCAAGGCAGAGACAGGAATCTTCTGGAAGTTCACAGGCCAGCTAGCCTGGCATGTACAGTGCAGCAACAGAAGCAAGAGAGACCCTGCCTAACAAGGTGGAAGGTGAGAACTGCTTCCTAGAAGTTGCCCATTGACCTCCATACATGTGTCATGCATGGCACACACACCTGCCTCCACACACACATGATGAAAAAGTAAATGAACTTGCTTGACAAAGAAAGATTATTATATGTCATTGTATTTTAGAAGCAGATTAACTTGGAAGAATTCTGCCCCATAATAAATATGATGTAGGGTCTAGAGTCTCATACACACCTGCTAGACATGATTCTGATGATGAATTATGGGACTTATCTTTTTTTGTGTGGGTTGGGGGTGCATGTGTGCACACATTCGTGTGAACATACAGACACTTGTGCACGCCCGTGTAGAGACTAGAGATTGATTCCAAGTATCTTCTTCCACTGATCCTCACCTTTCTTTTTGAGACAGAGTCTCTCACTGGACTTGGAGCTCACTGTTTTGGCTAGACTGGCTGGCAATAAGTTCCCTGGATATGCCTGTCTTTACACCCCCCGAAGGTAGAAAGGGTTACGGGAAAATGCCTTCTTGCCTGGCTTTTACAAATATTGGGAATCGGGTCCTCATACTTGCAAAGCAAGAACTTTACCCAAGAGCCTTCTCTCTAATCCTGTCTGTCTTTGTTTCTTAAGACAGGATCTCATTGTATAATCTAGGCTGGCCTAGAACTCACTGTGTAGTCTCAGCCTCTAGAGTCCTGGGGGTATAGGCATGAGCCTGCTGGCTGGACTTGTGGGACTTCTGAACTAATAATAGCTGAGATTTTAGTATTAGAGTTTATGATGTCATGAGTCAAGATTTTGGGGCTCCTGGAATAGAAAGAGTACTTTTTCAAGTGGAATGGCATGAAATTTGTCACTATAGTTGTTGAAAAGTCATCCCCAAAAGATATATCTAAACCATAGCCCCTTATGCCTGAGACTATGCCCCTTTTTGGAAACAGGTTTCTACAGTTGTAATTGAGAATCTGAAGTTGAGGTCATCATGAATTTAGGGACTCAAAATCTAATGAGAGTGTCCTTTTAAGAAAAGGAGAGGGCTGGAGGATAGCTCAAGCATTAAATGATAGGCTCACAATCAAAAATGTAAGAAAAGGAGAGGATACCAGGTGGTGGTGGCGCATGCCTTTAATCCCAACACTTGGGAGGCAGAGGCAGGTGGATCTCTGTGAGTTCGGGGCCAGCTTGGTCTATAGAACAAGTTCCAGGACAGGCTCCAAAGCTACAGAGAAACCTTGACTCAAAAAACAACAACAAAGAAAGAAAAGGAAGGGATACAGAGATGGCAATGTGAGCCTGGTGGGGAAACACTATTCACCAGGAGAGAGGCATGGGACACATTCTCTAAGGTTTCCAAGGGAACCAACATTGGTGGCGCCCTGACATTGGACTTCTGGCCTCTGAACTGGGAGCATAAAATTGTGTTGTTTTAAGCCAACTAGGTATATGTGGTAATGCACTAATTCCCAGGAGCCCTAGGGAACTAACAGCACACTGCACTCTGACCTCTGTTCTCCCTGCTACACTCTGCCAACAGCATGCTATGACAGTGTTAAACACGTTCTCATGTATTTACCATGCTCATCTCCTGTGACCCTTGACATGTCTTCCTCCCTCCCTAGTTCTGGGTCCTCGAGTGGTCATGACCACTGGGCACAAGCCCTCAGAGTCTGTAGGCAGGCACTTACCCGTGAGGAGAGGCCATTGGTGAGGCCATTGGTAGTCCTCCTCACCACTGCTGATGGAGTCATCTCTTCTTCAGCAGGAGATTTTGTCCGAGGGGGCACGATGCCAACTACAGCAAGAGAGAGCAACCAGTGGGCCTTGGGGGAAGCAGGGGCCAGAGCATCTGCTTCTTGGAGAGAGGCCTGGTTGCTCTCTCCCCTGAGGCTGAGGGTGGGCGAGCACCCTCCTCCAGCATGAGGGAGTACCTTAGCCTTACTTAGGCAAGTATGGGCTGAGACATACCTTTGTTGAGAGCTGCCTGCTTCTCTGTCTCTAGCTCTTGTCTGGTGGGCACGAGGCTGATGTCTCTGGGGGTATCCAGGGGTGATGTCTGGTCGGGGTCTTTCTTGTTTGGCTCATAGCCTGTTTTGGGCTGGGAAGGAGGGATGAGAAGATGGCTGCTGTTAGGGTGAAGGCTAGAGACCTGGCCTCCTTAATGCCTTCTTTCAAATCCTTTAGATACAGAGAGCAGGGAAATTGCACAGGTGCTAGCTAGGTAGCAGGCAAGGATGGTTCTTGCCCACGTTTAATAGACTGTGTTCTCTTGGAAATGAGAGCCAAGGGGGGTGGGTTCCTGCCCAACCCAGGTGACTTGGAAAGCTTGAAGAAAGACAGTCTGTGGGCTCTGGATCATAGGAGGAGTCACCAGAGGGGACTACAAATTCTGGGAGTCCTGCTGGGATTCATGCAGACTAGGCGAAAAGAACCAGGTGGGCCTTGATACCAGGATCATGGGGACATCAAAAAGGCATTTGCTTGTGGGTTTCGAGAGCCATGGAGGCCTCAGACAGCCTCTGAGATACTTTTCCTATTGTACTGTCAAAGATTCTAAGCCTCATAGAAAATTCAGCAAATAATAAATAAGGCTAGAGTCTGAAACTGCAGCAATCACCCAGTCAGAAGCCTGGGCCATAGGCAAGTCTTGTCCATTTCTTGGTGTAACAGCTACAGGCAATGGCAGCTATTCTGCCTGTCTCACTGGCAAGGCCTCAGCTACACAAACTATATATAACCAAGTCTGGATAGAATATGGGTCTCCCTATAACATACAACCAGCTTAAGTCTAACCATACACCTCTTTGTCTTGGCTAAGGACCCAGGTGAGAAGCCCAAACAGGGAAGATGAGAGCCTGTGTCCTTTCTTATATTCTAGAGGCTCATTAGACCCAGTGAGAACAAGACAGAGGCAGTACAAGATCATGAGAGGACTGGGGACTGAGATGTGCAAGGGACAGGAAGGGCCTTGGGTGGCATTTCCTTTGGTTTAATCCTGTTGGTAGGGCTCTGTACCCACAACCATCAGATGCTTACAAGCCAGGATTGTAACTCACTGTCCACAGAAAGCAAAAGGGAAGATGGCCTGTGAAACTGTTACCCAAGGGCCCAGAAGAGATAGAGCTTTGCGGAAATGCGTGAGAAAACAACCCCAGTGCCCTGGCCCTTGCCTGGGTCTTTGCCCCATACTGTACCATCCCACCCTCCAAACCCCAAGGATGCTGGGTACCTGACCCCTGGCTGTCTCGCCACTGTGATGCCAGGAAGGGGAGTTGGGGTATGGCCAGAAGCGGCTCTCATTAGGGAGTGGAGGGACGGTGGGAGGAGAGTCCAGGGGGACGTAGGCTTTGGGGAGGGGCGGCCGAGGTGGGCCAGGTTCCTGAGGCAGAGAGAAGCCAGAGCATTAGGAGGAAGGAGAGCGGCCACTGTGAGAGCAGAAGAGAGAGTTAGCAGGAGCCAGATAGTTTTATCCTATGAAGCAGCCCCAGCCCTGGGTACTGCACCCCAACCCTGGCCTGGCGGAGCTCCAGATCCACCGGGAGACTTCTGCCTGGCCCGTAGGCCCTCCTGCCCACCTCTCCACATTGCACTCCACTTTTCCAAAGTTCCCTCAGTACTGCCTCCCATCTCGCTAGGACTTTCCCATTCTGTATCTTTGCCTCTATCTCCCTTGCCTGTGCTCCATTTGGCCTCATCCTGTCCAGACAAACCAGGGCCCCATCTAAGTTCTACCCTCTCCTCCTTTGGCGGACTGGAGTCTTTACAGCCCAAACCATGTGACTCATTACTGATACACTATCAATATCTGCTGTAGGCTGTAGCTTACTATGAATTGGTCCCTGTTGGATTCTGAGTCTTTAAACAAAGGGCCTTGGGGGACCGCCTAGGTACCTTTCTAGGAGCTTCAGTCCATCCCAGGACATTGACTGACTAGCAAACATCTCCCTACACTGACCCTCAATCCCCTCACCTTGGGGTACTCCTGGTTTAAATTCCCACCAAGCATAGGGGACCTCTGCTAACTATCTTGGGTCTCAGGAAGCAGCTAAAGATGACAGGTGGAGATGGGAGTGGGTACAGGGGAAACCCCAGGGGAAGGTCATAAAACTAGTGTGGGAATGGCTCCTAGATACCATGAACCAAAACACTGGGATAGAGCCGCTGGGGAAGAGTTGGGGAGACTGTATGCCCTTTCCAGTGGTCGCGATCTGGTCTTCCTGCCCCCATCAATCTTGTACTGTTTCCCCAGCTTACCTCGCTGGACCCTGGTTTGGTTGGAGATCCCTGAGAACCAGACACCATTGAAAAGGGGCTCAGGGGACTGGTAAGGCTGGCAGAGCTGAGAGGGCTGGCTGGGCTGTTGGAGCTATAGGTGGCTGAGGGACCAAGTCCTCCTGGAGAAACAGAAGAGAGGGGTAAAGAGTGGAGGAAGGTATGGTATGGTGTACACATGGGTACAAGGAGTGGAGGAAGTAGGGGTGGCACCTGCAGGTGTTGGGGTCACAGGCTGGCTAGTAAGAGGTCCTCTAGGCAGCAAAGGTAGTAAACAGAGGTGACACTGCAGCCTCTGAAGTGTCAAAGAAATTGAGCCTGAAGCCCTGGGCTCAGGGACAGCTCTAAAGTCACTCATACATCCTTTACTCTAGTCCTTTAGTTGTCAGGAGTGTAAAACAGTCCAGGAAGGCGGAGGTGCCTACCTCTGTGCTTGGCCGTGTCAGTGCCCCGAGACGGGTTGTTCTTCCGAAGTCCTTCCATCACATCCTGGATCCTCCAGATCTCCTTCTGAATTTGCCGATTGAGCACCTCATTCTGAAAGAGCCACAAAGTGACTCAAGGATGTGCCAGTCCCGCTCTAAGCCTGGACCCTGCTGATCAGGGGGTTTTGGAATCCCCATGTTCCTGCCCACACAGCTATCTCCAGCAGACATAACTTTCTTACGGGAAGTCTCTGCCTCTTTAGCTAATATAAAATTGTGTCCCCAGAAATGCCAAGGACTCAGAAGCAAAAGTGTGGAACCCCTACTGAGCCTGCAGGGGGATCAGGGGACAATTCCCTGTTTACTAAGGGGCAAGACTTTCAGTGTGTTTGTTGTTGTTGTTGTCTTTTTTTTTTTTCACATTCCAACAGCCTAGTCATTAGTTACATTCTCCTACAGCTCACATTCTGAAATTTAACAGCTGCCACTCATTCTGTGCTCCTGAGTACCAGGCACCACTGCAAATGCTTTGCTTGTACTAACTCATCGCATCTCAGGACTCCTCATCAAGGTACAGAGAAGCAGCGGCTCCTACTTCAGAGAGGAGAGAGGAGACTGAATCCAGGGCCATCCACTGAGTAAGCCACACAGCCAGTGTCTAAGGACGGCCTTTTGAGTTAGAGGCTGGCACTCACGCCCATAGCCCTCCCCCTCCTAATATGTGTGCACTTGAAGTGCAGCTGGCCCATGGGAAGTAGTAGTATCTGGGTCCTCTGGGTCTCCTTCACTTTACCCTGCCCAGCCCAAGGAAGGGTGGTGAGTTTTGTTATTGGGAGGAAAACAGGATGTTAACTGCATCTGAGGAACAGAGCTTGCAAAACCAGCTAGAGAAGAAGCAGGGCTTGGTCAGACAAAAGACAAGGAGAAAAATAAAATAAACCAGAAGTCTCCAACACCTATCTCCCACCCAAGCCGCCCGCGCCTCTTCCCCGCCCTGCAAGATAAGCCTTGTTGTTTCTAAAACTGCATAGATGGCCCTACACTGCCAGCTTTCCCAGTGTCTTGAGAGGTATTTATAACCACTTATCTGCTTTTAAATTCTTTCAGCCATAGAATACCCTGCTTCTAACCTAAGTCTCTGCCTCATTAGCTTCAGCCCCTGTGGGTTGAGAAGAACAGTCTCACTTTGTCGTCAGCCTAGAAGTATAGCCTTAAGCGTCCTGAATCTCTCTTTTCTTCCTTCTCTCTCTGTTTCTCTCTATCCGTCGCAAGATCAGCTCCTTGTCTTATATTGAAATAGCTAAATCAAGAAAGGCTGCCACTTTGTTCTTCTTTGCCACAAAGGACAAGGGAAGATGCAGGGCACAGCCTGCCCCCTCCCCCCACATGATTAAGGCCCCCTTTTACCTGGATGTCCAAGTTGAGCTGTTCCCAGAGGTCATCATGCAGGGCAGAGACCTCAGACTCGAGGTTCTCATACACCACTGTGCTGTTGGTCAGGGCCTGCATGGGAGAGGATGGATTTAAAAATCACCATGGAAACACACCTCTGGTTGTGTCTGTGAAGGTGTTTCTGGGGAGGAGTAACTGAGATGGTAAGGTATGTGTGGCGCCATCACACAGGCTTGGGGCCAGGACTGAATATAGAAGGCATGGCAAGCTGAGCACCCAATCTATCTCTGCTTCCTGAATGTGGGTGCAAGCTTGCACTCCTGCTCACCGTACCTTCCCCCCATGGTGGGTATATTCCCTTCAAACTGAGTCCAAAACCCTTCCTCCTTAAGTGTTTCTTTTGTCAAGTGTTTTGTCACAGTGTCGAGAAAAGCAGTTAGTATAAAGAGAGAGCCGCCTCCATTAAGGCCTTCCTCCCACTGCTGCAAAGGGGTCTGGGGCCAGGATACCTGGGGTCTGGAGTCTGGCAGGAAATGAACAAAGCTGAGGCATTCTGATGACAGCTCTCGCTAACCCTCCTAGAGGGTCCAGGATATATCCCATGGCACACTGAAGGAAAAGCTGAATCCTTTCAGGCCAAAGAGGAAAGTTCTCAGTCGGACCCTCTTGTTCCTCTCAAGACAGAGAACAAGTTAGGGTAGAGAGATGGAGCCTGGGAGAGATCGCTGACTCTCCCCACAGAGACCCTCCTTCTCTTCTGGGCCGTGCTTTCCTGGGCCACTGTTACTGGAACAAGTGGTGTTGAAGGATCTGCCCTTGCCCCCTTGGCTGGGCAGCAGCAAGCCAGCCAGTGTCCTGCTTCCCCACGGCAGCATATGGGTTAGATAAACCTCGAAACTCAGTAACCCTCAGCTATTACACAGCCTCAAAGAAACCCTGGTGCAAATGTAGCCTGTGGAAACGAGCTTGCTCTCTGGGCAGAGACACTGTGGAATGAACAGGTGGGCAAACTTGCTCCTTGTACATGCCCCCTGCAATAGGAGTGCCCTTGCAGCACTCTAGTTCTATTCTTTTAGGAGAGATCTGGGTGGGTGTGGCACACAGGGGATGTTAACAGCCACCGCCCCTGTCCTGGTGGTTACCGTAGTCGCCTGTGACAGCTCCACCCGGATGTTGATGAGCTGGTTTTGCAAAGATTCCTTTTTGTGCAGCAGCTTCTCAGGGTAGGCAGGCTGGTTTCCAAACATCTCCAGCTCCTGGTGGGTCCCCATCAAGGCACTTTCCAGGCTCTCCTAAAGAAAGATGGGGATGGCATGAGCTGCCCTAGTGACCTTCTCTAGATGCCTGAGCCCCTAGCAGTTCAATCAGCCATCTTAGCAGAGGTTATCCTCATACTGGCTACTGTCCCTGGGAGATAAGAAGTCTGAGGGAGAAAAAGTCTCTCAAGCTTTGTAAGGGCAGAGATGGCATTTCACACCATCCCCATGCCAGCCCCACCTCCAAAACACCACAGACTCTGACCTTCTCTGCTCGTAACTGTTGCACCAGCCGGTCCTGCTCTCTCACAACCTTGTTCTGTTCACACAGCTTGCCCAGCAGCTTCTAAGGGGCCAGAGGGGAGAAAGGAGGGGATGAAGGACATGGTTTGATGGAGACTTGGGAATTGGGTTGGCAGGGCCTGGCCTCTGGTATCCACTTTCCCCAGCCAAGGAACCTGGGCCTTCACTGTCACCTTGGAGGCTCTGGGAAAAGCATGATGGACCTCTCCATTTTAGGAAACAAGATACGGTAATTTTCGGGGTGGAGGTGACGGGGAGTCAAGTGCATTCTTATCCTACTGTGGAGGTACAGTGCCCGGAAGGCTGAGAAGATAATATGGCCTCATCTCCTTGGCTCGGGTAGGGGACAGGCAGGGTATGGGAACAAGCAGTATTAAACCAATGTAGTGTGAACCAGCCCCTCAGCCCCATGGGCCCCAGTCTCTCTCATCCTGAGATTCTGAGTTCTTGTCATCTAAGGCTGTGGTTCTCAAACTGTGTGCCGTGACCCCCACAGGGGCCACATATCAGATATCCTGCATATCAGATATTTATATTATTATTCATAACAGTAGCAAAATTACAGTTATGAAGTAAGCAACAAAATAATTTATAGTTGGGGTGACTACAACACAAGGATCTATATTAAAGGGTTGCAGCATTAGGAAGGTTGAGAACTACTGTTCTAAGGTCTCAGGATGGCTGACAGATGTCCCTCTTAGCTGGTCCTTGCCTGGACCCCCCTCCTTGGCCTCTGCCTGCTGAAGGAGGATCAGCGGTAATCGAGAAGCAGCAGGCAGAGCCCACTCTCAGTTCTGAGAGGAGTCTTTCCATCTCCTCCTCTCTAACTCAAGTCTTCCCCTTGGTCCTCTTTGTATTGAGCCAAACCTTGCCCTTTGTGCTTTTCATCTCAAGGCTTTTCTCATTGGCCACCTGTTTTGTCCTTGAGCTATGCATTGGCCCTGTTCAGTAAATGAATCTGATGTTGCCAACTGATGCTACCTGGGGTTTCCCACTGCATGAAGCTCCTTGAGGGCAGAAACAGACCATATTCCCTCTAGTATCTTGCAGTGTCTAACAAAGGTTGGGCACAGAGTGGACTGACTGATTTACAGGCTATCAAAGCCTAAGCCTTTGCCCTAAACAGATCACACTGATGTAGAAGGGCCCACACGTGGTATAGAAGGACAGAGTGAAAGTGGGAGTGAGCTAGTATCAAATCCAAGGAGAGAAGGGGACGGAGGGAGAAGCAGATGGAATGCTGTTGTCTGTGGTCCTGATGAGAGACATGAGTCAGATGCATGAAACGCCACCAGGAGAGAGAGAGGGGGATGGAGAAAAAGGCCCATAGGAGAAAACAAGGATGAGAACAACAACATGAGTAAGTCGTGGTCAGAGGGAGCAGGGAGAGCTGCCCTTACATCCGTGTCTTGCTCGTTTAACTTGAAGGTGTGGAGGCCATCCCGGAACACCTCTGGGTATGCAGGGACCTGCAGGAACACGAGGTTGGTTACTGGAGCAGGGGCAGATGAGGCTAGGTGAGTGGGAAAGCTGACGTCACAATCCTGCTTCATTCCTGCCAGAGACCACTGCCCATTATGCCTGATGGGGGCTTCTGCACCAGGGACTCCAGCTAATTCTACATCCTCTGGCTGGGAAGTCTGTGACGGTGCAGTTTAGACGTCATCCTGATTGCCCGTGCCTGATTCTGGAGAGGTTAGAACTTAGTTGGTCACGTGACCTGTGTCTCCTGTCCCCTGTTGGAGACCTGCTGGAAGGTAGAGCTCTCAGTGGTAACAATCATGAGAATACCAAGTGTCTCCTGGGCAGTTTGTAGGGACAGTACATGAGAGCCTGGCAGGAATGAGCACCAGAAACCTGGAGAACGGCTGTCCTCAAAAACACCAATCACAGAGCCCACTCTAAGCCGGGACTGGCAAGATTCCAAAAGCACCATGGGAGCCAGTTAATGCTGCCTTGCCTTGACAACACAGCAGTCGTTGTAACACATTCCACAGAGCCTTGACACCCTTCCCTCATACCCCAGTCCCAAATATCTGTCAAGAACAACAGCAAATATGAACTGGATCCTGGGCATTCAGAAGCAGGTTTGTAATCGCCAACATGCATTGGGATGTTGCTGCTGGCTGTTGGGATGGCTCAGGAAATGCATCTTGGATTTATCCACGAACATGAAGAATGGAGGTGGCATGGTGGAGCTGGGGAGAAGACTGGGCAGAATCTGCTTCAGGGGAGATGAGGCCGGGCAGATGAATGGATTGGGTGAAGCGGGCCTCATTCATCCCACACAGGGTGGACCCAACCATGCACAAAAGCTGAGATGGCACTGACAGGGACCATGCCGGCAGCAGGCAGAGGCCTTACTTGCATGAAGAGTTGGGCCCTGGGGGAGGAGCTCTCCACCATGCGGTTCACCATACTGATGAGAGTCTCGCTCTCACTCATCTGCAGCAGAGGAAGGAATGGACGATTCACTCAGCCCGGGGGAACACTATCTCCCCACACCCCACTGTGGTTCTCTGCAGTAAACGGGAGGAGCAGCTGCTCTTGGCACCCTGGTTCTTGGCCTTGCCATTTCTCACCCTGTGAATTGTTTCAGGACTGGTACTGATGGATGCTGTCCTCAGGCAAATGCCACAGCAGGTTGCTGGGAGGTCACTAGACCCTCACTGACAGCGTGGAAGAGACCCTGCAAGGCCAAAGGACTCCGCCCTAAGGGTGCCTGACCACACTGGCCAAACTGTCCCCTCCTTCCCACTTCTTGCACTGCTTTGGATGAAGACCACACAGTGGGAAGGCCAGTCTCCTCAAACTGATACTAAACTGACCTAAAACAGCAAACATGGGACCTACTCTCTACACGGACGGCACACCCCTCCCCACCTCCTGGAAGATCACTAGATAGTTTCCAGAGCTGGGCTGGCAGCATCCATGAGGATCTCGGATGGCACTGGGAAGTGAACAAGGAGGCCAAGACAAGTGAGCCATGTTAAAGGGACACCAGGTGTCGGAACACTGCTCTCTCACGTCATCTCTTAATTTCAAGGATCATTGGGAAAGTGGAAGGGGGAACTGAAAGGGGAGGGAGGGATGGAGAGAGACAGGGAGGGAGGGCCAACCAAACCAATCAGATATGCCTTCATTTGTCCACTGGTTCCACTGGGAGAGTCAAAAATGAAACTGTCAGGGAATGTCCTTGGCTGTGTCCCTTTAACTATGTGTTCCACAGCAGATGGTGGGAGAAGACAGAGGGAGGTATACAGGGAGAGCTCTGGAGCCATAAAGTAACGAAGCAAAGGACAGAGCCACATTAGGGATGATCTTGTGGGGTCAGAATTTTATCTACCTTCTCCCCAGTCTTGGTCAGGCCTGTTGTCTTTTCTTCCTCTTACCCTCTTGAGGCAAACATCTTTGTTTCTGCCATGCTGTGGACAGAGCAAGGCAACCAGTGCCCCCATTTGCAGGATCTACAGCATTTTAATTAAAAAAAAATCTACTTTATCCATACATTTTGCCTACATGTATGTCTGTGTAGCATGTGCCCACAGAGACGGGAAGAAGGCATTGGATGCCCTAGAACTGAATTTACAGGTGGTTGTGAGCTGTCACATGGGTCTGGTAACCAAACCCAGGTCCTCTGGAAGAGCAGCCAGTGCTCTTAACTGTGGGACCAACTCTCCATCCCTAGATCTGCAGTATTTTAAAAGAATTTCTAGCATTCAATTTTCTACTCCTGTAAGCGATGTAAAGGCTTCAAGAGTACCCATAGTATGGGGTGAACATAAGAGTTACAAAACCAACAGAACAGCATCCTTGTTTTGTCTAATGCCAATCCAGTCCCTATCTACTTAAAGAGACCATGTGTGTGTATGTCTATGTGCATGCGTTTGTGAGTATATAGTGGACAAAGGGAGGCCAGGCTCTCCCAGAGCACCCGTTGACATGGCTTCTTTCCCATAAGTGGCTTGCTGTAACAGTGCCCCACAGAGAGCTTCCCAATCTGATTCCCTCACTACTCCGAAGAGCAAACTCCACTATGTCTGAAAACAAAGAACCAGGGAGACTAAATGACACATCCCCCAGTGCTACCCAGCACGGCACTGCCTGCTTTGTCTGTCCCCTCATCACACAAGACTGCCTATAAGAATATTGAGCAGCTGGGTGGCGGTGGCACATGCCTTTAATCCCAGCACTTGGGATGTAGAAGCAGGCGATCTCTGTGAGTTCGAGACCAGCCTGGTCTACAGAGTGAGTTCCAGGACAGGCTCCAAAGCTACAGGGAAACCCTGTCTTGAAAAACAAACAAACAAAAAGAATATTGGGCAGGAGGGTAATCCAGAGGTGACTTCTGAAGACCCTAGCAGTCAGCCCCTCTGGAAAGGCAAAAGCCACTCTGTTAAATGCTTGCACAGGTAGCCATTGTGGACAGTGCAGAGCAAGTCACAAAGCTACAATGAGGACAGCCTGCTTGGATGGCTGGTGGTGGTTGCTCTGAGTCCTCCTCACTTCAGGGTACCACGGGTCTGGGAGGACCCAGCACTTCCAGCCATGTTTGGGAAAGGGCATCCTGGGATTCATCCCACATGGCCCAGAATGCTTACGACATGAATATGATGTGCAGCTTTTGGAACAAGAAGAATGCAAGGTCCTGGAGGGCCAGGAGCTGGCCCTGCTGACTAAACTCTGGCAATCAGAGCTTCCCAGTGCCTCAGACCTCTTAGAGAGATGATCTCACCATAACAGGGAGGCCATAGGAGATGACAGGTCACATGACTGTTACTGGAAGAACAGAGTCATAGCAGTGAATATAGCCTTTTCAAGGTCACATTTCTGCCTACGGATTTATGAGTATGAACTTGTTCTGATGAGATGTGATTCCGGCTTTGTCTCCCAGCTACAAGCTGGGGTAAAACCTAAGTTCTGCTGTTTGCTGGCTGTGTCCTTGGCATGTTTTTTTTTTTTTAACCTCAGTGCTTTATTTCCTTGTCTGTAAAATAGGATAGTCACAGTTCCCATATTGTAGTATTATTACAAAAATTAAAAGGATTGTGATCTATTCCAGTCAGCCTATTATAAGACATGAAGGAAGCACCAGATTATGGTGGCTGCTATTATTATTATTATTATTATTATTATTATTATTATTATCATTATTATTATTGAGACAGGGTCTCACCATGTAACTTTACCTAGTCTGGAACTCATTATGTAGGTCAGGCTGGCTTCAAACTTACAGAGGTCCAGCTGCTTTTGCCTCCGAAGTGTTGGGAATAAAAGCATGCACCACCACACCTTAGTTATTCTTAATATTATCACTACAATAATCTCTACCACCCCGGGGCTGGCTTCACAGGAAAATAAGGACTTCCAGATTCCCTGTGAGTTATAGCACATATCTGAGAATACATGTGTGGGTTCACCTGATGCCTGTCTAGACTGAGCATTTTTAGATAGTCCTCTTTGGAGTTAAAAGGCAGGGAAGCAAAGGGGAAAAGCCTGGAGTAGGAACCAGGCAGCCAGCAGCTTGTGTCTCACTGGAATATTCATTACCTGGTCAGCTTGCTTACAAATACAAACTGAACTGACATTGCTGCCTCTGTCAACCACACTGAATTCTCATGAGCTGTATATGCAAAAGGACTTTGTTAAGGGACTAACACATATATGGAATTTATATCATTTTCTAAACCATACTAGGGCAAATCTATAGGACCCCAGTTTATAACTACAGAGCTTATCAATGACCAGTAAGACAGGATATGATTTCCCAGGTCCAGGCTTAATTAAGGCCCTTGTCTCTACTGTCAACAAAAATGCTAATTCCCACCTGACCGTGAGGGTAGTTCCTCGTGAGCTGAGCACTGGAGAATGTGGATAGAGCTAGTGAATTATTTGTGTTCCCATTTATACGCCTCTTTCCTGAGGATAGGCCCAGCTGCCCACAAGGGCTTCAGAGGGAAAGGAGATGAGGGAGCAAACCAAAACACAAGCCACTTTGTTGGGTCCCGGTGACACCAACAAAGGTTGTCCGATGGGTGGAGGATGTTAGGGATGGGGAGAGGGGAGGACGGACGGGAGGGCATGGGATGACGAGGGGCACCAGCTCTGCCTACCTGCTGGTCCAAATACTCTAGGTTTCTTTGCAACTGAAGATCTAAAAGGTCATCCTACCCGGAGCCCGAGGCCAAAGGGCCAACCAGCAACACAAACAAACAGGAACACACAAAAGAAAACGATAAAAAAAAAAAAAGAAGCAAAGTAGTTAAGAGTTAGCTGGGCATGGACATCGAAAAGTCTCTGTCTTGTCCTTTAAGTGGTGGAGAAGGGATGAGGGTCACACTCTCTTCCAACTGTTACCTCTGTTCCACCCTGCAAATGTGGTCAGATGGGTTTCCACAATTTCTGGGGGAAATGGGCTATTTCTGGAAAGGTACATTTGCTGTGAATCAAGGCTTTGAAGTCTTAACAGCAGTGTGAGCATCAGGGTGAGGAGTGGCTGTCCTCCCATCTGCCAGCCTCCTGCACCCTGGCCTCCCTTGCTGGGTGTGGGACAGATTCTTTAGTCCCCAACCCACCGATGTGGAGCGTCTGCACCTGACCCTCTGGTGGAGGTAAATTTCTCAGGGGACACATTTCAGAAGTAAAAGTAGAGATAGCAGAAAAGGGAGCAAACACAACGTGGAACTCTGTCCCTTCCCCACAGGTGGCATTCCAAACAAAGGCAAGCTTGAGGCAATACACCAAGGGGGAAAGTTCACAGCTTTAGTCTGGCAGTCCTAGGCTGACTTTGCATCCAGCTCATGCTCCTGGCTAGCCCTGCCCCTCCTCTTGCGTGCTGGTAAGAAGAGCTGAGCTGGGGGGGGGGCAGAGAAGGAGAGCCTATGCTCTCTGCTCTGTGCCACAGAGAAGGGGCAGCTGGCCCCAAACCCTGTCCTGGGGCTTGAGGCTTGGTGGGGAAGGAGGGGGTATCCAGAGACTTCTAAAGATACATGGGCCAGGTACTGGGCCCAGAGCATCCCTGGCACCTGCCCCAGTTCAGCTCCACCTTGGGTGGATGCAAGTGAGGAGGTCCTGAGGTGGAGTGGAAGGGAGGAGAGGACGTACCATCTTATCGTGGACCGTGGGGGATGGTGGGTAGTTGTAGGGGAACAGTCCTGCAGGGACTGGCCGCCTGTCTCCCAGGTAATCATACTGGAAGAGAAAGGGGATTGCAGAGGTGAGAGGATATGGCTGGGCTGTAGACTTCCCCACCAACTCAAGTTCAAGGTTAAGGGTGTCTGTATTCTATCCCAGAGCAGAGTTCAAATTAAAATGCACAGCAGCCCATTCACAATAACCTATCTGAGTCCTCAAGATCAGAGGACAGACCTCTGTCCTCTTAGACATGACACAATTTTTCGTACAACCTGGGAATGGGCAGGGTTCCTATTTAGAAGCCAGAACAACTCCCAAGGCAGCTCTCTTAGGGATGGTACCATAGGCCAGGCTCCCAGGGACAGATCCCTGGTTTGACAGGACACATCCCAGATATCCCAGCATTTCCAGCTCTTCTCAGCAGATGGTCTCAGGGGTTCAGGAGGGAGGGGTGGACTGGTGGCTCACCTTTGGGGAACTGATGGATCGCCTCATCACATAGGCAGCAGGGTCTGCATAGATGTCCTCACTCCTAGGTGGTAGCCGATCAAAACGGGCACTGGGAGAGCGCACAGGGGAGTAGATTCGGGCACGACTGTAGGAGCCCTGGCTGGGCGAACGGGGCACAGAGTGGGAACGGGGCTGCAAGGACAGGCGTCGCAGGGAGCCAGAGGCAGCATCCAGCTCATCATAATAGACTGGCTGTCGGGAGGGGCTGGGGATCCAAATGGTGCTGTCCTGCCGCCCATAGCTGGCCGGCTCCTTCCATTCACGAAGCTGGTAAGTGGGCCCACCCCCGTTACGGAAGGAGTGCCGCTTGTCCTCCAGGGCCCAGGGCGGACTAATCCTATCGTAGGCTGGCATGGAACAGATGCTGTCTGGCCGCACCCCTGGTGGGTAGTACTGGTAATCCTCAGGGTACTGGGAGGAGTAGGGGCTGTAATACTCAGGGACCCGGCGGGACACAGGGTAGAACCTTGAAGGACTAAGAGAGAGAGAGGCCATTATAAGAAAAGTAGACATCATGAACATCTCTACCCAGTCCACTTCCCAGACCTTCAGCTCAGAGTAGGTGCTTGAAAAGATGACCGGAGCCCCGGGGCATCGAGTAAGTACCCAGAGGAGGCCCGCCCGAGGGCACTGCCCAGGCAGGTTCTAGGCTTAATCTAGAGGTGAGAAAAAGTCCCACCCTCTATCAGCTTCCTAGAGCTGAAGCTGCACCATTCAGAGTTTAACCTGTGTCTTTAAAATGAAATGCTCTGGAAGATAGCTCTAGACTTATCTGCCATCTTCATATGAGTGTGAACTAGTTTACCAGGCCCTTTCCAAGACAGGTAGTAGAAGAAAAAGACTCAAGTGTACCATGCTCCCGAAGGATCAAAGTACGGCTCTCTAGTCATATGCTATCAGAGATAGAAGGCTCCCAGGACTTACAGCCAATTGCCCAAGTACCCAGTCACCAACAGTGAGATGTTAACTAGAAAGGTGGGCTTCTTCAGGGTCCAAGATCCTCCCCTGAGGCTTTACCCACAATCCCTGGAGCTCCCTACATCCCAAGCTCATTGCCCTGACAAACACTATCAGGCTCAATAGGTACTGCCAAATACTTGAAAGCCAGTCATCAGATAAATCCCTGTATTTATCCATGGAGCAGAGTGGTCATCAAGGAACAATATGACAAATGAGGTACCTTGTTTCCTTAAAATAACAACCCCCTCTCCCCCCAAAAACCCAACTAGCTATTAACAGTGGCTTTGAATCAATAGAGCTGTTTAAAATGGCGTAAGTTGTTTGGCTCCCAGTGAGGAGCACTGGATTCAGATGTTACAGGACCTGAAGCAAGGATTGGTGTTTAAGCTGAACAGCTTCAAGGCCTGCCTCTACACCTGCATGACTCCTGCCTGCCCCAGGCATGGCACTGTCTGTGTATCTGTCTTGCCTGTGTCCCCCCCCACCCCAGACAGGGTCTCATGTAGCTTAGGCTATCTTACAATTTACTATGTAGTGAAGAATAACCTCAGAACTCCAAATCCTCCCGCCTCTGCCTCCCAAGAGTTGAGATTACAGGAATGTGCCACCATGTCTGTGTATATCCTTTTCTTTGAAGGCAGCAAACAGAAAGACAATCAGGCAAGGATTTGGTCAAGCCGAGAGTCAGGGACTGTGTTAGCTTCCCAGCACAGTCAGCTTCCAGACGGTTCCCAATAAAGGGATGTCTCATAGGCTATGCCCCTTCCCATACCCTAGCTATAACAAGCCCTAGCCCCCGGGCCCCTCACCTCCGAAGGTCTTCGGATGGGGGCACGCCTCGGCGCAGGTTCACCCACTGCTGAAGCTGGTTCATGGAGCTTTTGCGTTGGGCAATTTTGTCGGGGTCAGTACGTGGTGGAAAGCTCTGCCGGTGTCCCCCAGTGTTCCCATCATGAGGTGGAAAAGCCGTGCTTCCTGGTCGGCTTGGGGAGCTATACTGCCAGCCATTGGGCTGGGCAGGCTGCTCCCCACCTCCTGGGACCCTCGGACCATCGGGGTAAGGACTGCCAGGCTCTGAGGCTGATTCGGGTCCAGATGGGAGGCCGTTGGCTTTCACCAGAGGCTCTTTTTTGACTTCAGGCCTCTCAGGCCTTCGCTCGGCCTTTTCACAGCCTCTGCCGTCCCCTTCCCCTCGAGTCTTGGCCTCAGGCTCTGGCTTGGCGAGGCTGTTGTGAGGAGGCTGCTGATGGATTTTGCTGGGTGGGATGTTCTCTGAGTCTGACTTCTCGTGGCTGCAGGATGCCAAGGTAGAGGCTGTTAGTCACACTGGCCCCGCAGTGTGGACTAGGGCAGGGATAAGTGGGTTGGGAGGAGTGGAGAAGAAGAGACAAGGGTAGTAATGGAACCAGGCCAGGGTGACACCAAATTCTGCTTCCTAAATCCCAGGCTTGTCTTTATTGCCGGGCAATGATGAGATAAAGTCAAATAACCCTCCAGCGAACACTATACTTTCTCTGCCCTCCAGGCCCGTTACCCAAATCACTCTCCCTTCTGCTACTGATATGGAGCCCAGCTCTTGGCTGTGGTGGCCCCTCCTTTTGGTCCTCTCTGTTATCTGTCTCCAATCCAGCCCTCCTGACCCACCGGCACTGTACCCCAGCTTCAGAGCAATAACTGTACTTAGCAGTAGAGACTAGTTATAGGTCCACCCCGTGTCTTTCCATGATTCCTGGGGACTCTTCATTGGCAGAATAGACAGAACACCATCTGCCCTCAGAGGGCTGCTATGAGATACAGCACGGTGGACAGCAAGGGTACAAGACATTGTCTCCTAGCAGGTAAACACGAAGGTCCCTCTCCAAAGCACAACCTTCTGGATCTAGCATCTTTAGAATGTGGGCTCCATAGGGCAGGAAGATGACAGGTTTTTATCCAATGTGCTCCTAGGACCTGGTATAGGATCTATGTCCTGGTTATTTTTGTTTGTTTATTGTTTGTCAACTTGATACACGCTAGAGTTATTTGGGAAGAAGGAGTCTATATTGAGACTATTACTATTCCTCTAAAACACAGGTCTGTGGGCAAGTCTGTTGGGCATTTTTTTTTTTTTTGATTGATGAATGATGTGGGAGGGCACTGCCTACCATGGACAGCGCCACCCCCTGAGCAGGTGGCCCTGGATGGTCTAAGAAAGCAGGCTGAGCAATCCATGGGAATCAAGTCAGTAGGCATCATTTCTACATGGCTTCTGCTTCAGTTCCTGCCTCCAGGCTCCTGCCTTGAGTTCCTGCCCTGACTTCCCTGGAAGATGACATGTCCCTGGATGGACTACAAACTGCAAGAGGAAAAAAACCTTTCCTTCCCACGTTGCCTTTGGTTTAGTGTTTATCAGAGCAGTAGCAGCGCAGACTAGACAGTCTGTCCTCTTTCTGGCGAATCTGCGAAGCAGACGACTAAAGCTCTGGCAATGCACAAGGATGGACCCTTGAGACAACATCCCCCTAGAGCTTCCTGTCCATAAAGCTTTCTGACTGAAACACTGGCCGGGGTCTGCACTGTGAGGCCCTTTCTTCTGGATCCCCTTCACCTAACTCAAGGCTCTGCATGGGGAGAGGAGAGGTAGGCCCCGAGAACACAATGTATTGAATGTTGTTGGGACTTCACATACAATCTGCAGTCCTCAAGCAGAACAAATCCAACTGCTAGATTTGAGAAGAGAAAAATCAGGTTCTGAGAGGTTAAGTCACTCCCCCCCCCCCCCCCCCGATGTTACACTGTGGCCAAGTAGCTAACCTATGATTCAAACCTGACTCCATTTTCTTCCACAGTGTTTAACACAAACACCCTGGAACAGTGAGTAAATGACCCTCGTCTCGTGTTCCCAGACAAGCTTCAGTGGAACTCTCTTCAGACTCTTCCAGCTCAGAAAGGAGAGGAGGAACTGGTTAGGGGAGGTGAAATTCAGGCTCTGCAATTCAGGCTACTTAGATGCAGGGAGGTGGTCCTCGCTCCTTCCAGAGGCTCATGCCTGTACAGTGGGCCCAGCAATGGCACAAAGCTGTGTACTTTTAAATGTCTGTCTTTCCTTTCCTCCCTTCCATGTGAGGGACCCTGGTACTCACCTGTGCCGCACAGGCTGAGGCACTGACTTCTGGGCTGGAGGGATCTGTACCCGAGCAGCCTCGCCCATGGCTTGGATCCAGGCCTCCTGCTCCTCAGGGCTCTCTGCACTGAAGAAGTAAGTGCGGACTCCAGCGTGCTCTGCCTGTGGGGAGAGGCAGTGCGTGGAACTGGCCCCAGCCTCATCTACCCAGTTAACAGTCACCTGCAGGGAAAGGGACACCAACAGCCACAAGAGGAGCAGTCAGTCAGTCAGTCAGTCAGGCCGTTCACAGCCCCAGCTTCTTCCTACAGGAGCTTAAGGACCAGACAAGGAGGGTGGCCTGCAGCTACCTCTCGGGTACTGCCTGGGCTAGGCATCTGAATATGACCTCAAAGCCCAGTAACCAGGAAAGCAAGCCTACCTCTCCAGCCCGAAGTGATTGTAAGCAGGAGGGACAATTACCACAGCCCCTCTCCCCTTCAATTTCACCTTAGTGACAAGAAAATTACCCCAGGGCTGGGGCAGATGCCCCATCTCAAGCCCAATTTGACTACTGAGTAGCTGGCCCTATGCCTTCCTTAAGAGGAAACACCTGGGGCCCTAACCATGGCATGCAGGGCACCAGCACTAGCAAACAGACGGAACACACTACCTAGTTGATGGCCGTGAGCAGGCACAGCGGGCTGGAACCCAGAAGAGAGCTCCTGTCCAGAGGAGAGGGTCCTCATGCGGCCAGAAGGAGAGGCAGAGACAAGTCAACCGACACCAGAGGAAGAGACAGATCAGACAGTGAGGAGCCTGAGACAGGTAGTATGGGCTGTTCCCTTCCAATCAGTGTCACCACCCTGAAGGACAGCACTCAGCAGTGCCCAGCTCAGTCCAGCAAGGGATGGTGCACAGAGGGCATGCACTACGGGAATCTGGATATGGTGGGCAGTGTATCGGGGTATCCCAGTGTCAACCCCAGATATTCTAGCAGACAAGTTGCTATTTTGCTCCACCTTAAATAACGCATCCACAGAGTTCTGCCTAGTAAAACTCAAGGGGAAAAAAAGTCACAGGACTAGGTAGGTTCCTTCTGAGACCTTAGCACACTCTTCTGGTGACATCCTCAACTCTTAAGGTAGTTAAGGGCTGGAGAGATGGCTCAGTGGTTAAGAGCACTGGCTGTTCTTCCAGAGGACCTGGGTTCTATTCCCAGCACCCACATGGCAGCTCATACCTGTCTATAACTCCAGGTCCAGCGGATCTGGTATCCTTACACCAATGCACATAAAATAAAGTTAAATAAAGTATTTTTTTAAAAGGTAGTTAAAATTTACATCACCTAACAGGGGCCTCCAGATGTGATTAGGAGTGTCATTCTGGCCTTGGCCCCCTTGGGTGCTGAGGTTGATGAGGGTTGATAGGGAAAGGCTAGGCCTTCTGGCTAAACTCAAGGGTCTCCTGAACAAGTCATGCTCACACCCTTCCTGTGTTTCCTGGCTCATCCTTCAGGAGACTCCCTTCACTGTGCCCACTTCCAACTCCCCCTTCACCTCTCCTCAGCCTGTCATTTTCTGGGATGGGACTGGACCAGGCTTCTTCCCTCTGGCTGGACAGCCCTAGCAGAGGGCCCAGTAGGAGGCAGAGCTGCTGAGGGGGCCCGTGCTAATGGACAGCAAGGGAGCTGTAAAGAGGGCAAGGAGCGGGCTGGGACTTGAAACTGAATAGCTGTGCCCAGAGCCCAGGAAAGCTCTACGGAACAAGAATATAGGGTTAGTTTGGTGGCGTGGGAGACACAGGCAGGGCTGGTGTGTTGTGGGGTAGGTGGGAGTCAGAAAATGAATCTGTTTATTCCATGAACAACCTATGTGTGCAGCTTGCTGGCTGGGGCACCAGTCACAAGGAAAATAAAGATTGCACTTGAGTTTAGTCACACTGGGGACAAAAACGTGTCACAAGGAACAAGGAGTAAACAGACCCAGCACCGAGTGCTTGTGACAGGAGAAGGCAGAGGGCCTGGGAAAAGACAGGGCTATTGATGGGGTGCAGGGAGGGGCACCAGCTCCTAATATGAAAGGAGCTGGGGAGCTGAGGGAGGGGGTTGAAGAAGCTAAGGCATTCAACCATAGCCAGGCAGGGACAGTTCCTGGCTCCTCATTATTTGCCATCCAAGACTTGTGCTTGGAAGCCACAACAGGACAAGCCTGAAGTCTGTCTGTCTCAGCTCCCCTCCCTTCCCTGGGGGTGGGACACTGAATGGCACCGGTCGGAACCCTTTGTAGGCCACTGAACATAGCTATCACGTGAGGCCCTTAAAGAGGCAGTGCAGGACCTGGGGGAAGGAGGAGGGCGTGAGTGGCTGGTAGGCACAGTAGTGATCTCTAGGCTCCACAGAAGGGTGTGTTTCAGTCATTCTAGGACATTTATCTGATGCCTGCAGCCGGCACAGCTCCAGTTTGGAGTATGTGGCTCTGACAGGTCTGGTATGAAGGGCGAGACAGGCTGTGGATGGTGTGTGGGTGCGAATGTGTGTGTGGAGCGGGACTGTTTGTTGGTTAAACAGCCTGTTCCTGTTTTCCCAGCTAGAACCCAGCTCCCTGGAGTTAGCGTTTTATTAATTGTTCATTCTGTTCACACCTCTGGCACACGAGACCCTGGGAGGATGGAAACTAATTATTTGCCAAATAGGTCCCTCCCTGTTTCCAGCAGGCCCCGTGTGCGTTTGCCCACCTCTTGTACCAGAATCTGCATCGCAGAAGAGCTGTGGAAGTTCAGACACCAACCTAGTGATACCTGTAGTTTCTGTCACATTTTTTTTAAAGCCATGGAATTGGGTTTTAAGGATACTGGAGAGCAATTCTCACCTGGGGGAGGGAGGGCTTTATACTAAGACGAGCAGAGCTGATATTATTATTTCATGTTTTGAAAAGTAGCCTAGGGTTTTTCGTATCACAAAACACAAAGGGCATGGGATTTTTATAGTTTTTAATGGGTCATGAATTTTTAAATGTGGAAAAATACTGGCCTAGGATGAGCCAGCTGCAGGCACAGCTTTGCTGAGTAGATCCCCCAGGGGTTCTAAGGGAGTGACACTGAACAGGAGGCGAGTCCCATTTTCTTGTGCGCTTGTCCTCTCAAATTGTTGTCTGCATGGCCAGGGGTGCATCTCCATGGTAGGACACTTGTCCAGGATTCATAAGGCCCTGGGTTCCATCCCCAATACCATGGGGCTGGGGTAATGCTATCCCCATCAGATTTGTAACTCAAGATTAAAACAAAATTCAACTCCTAATATTCTCTAAATGTTAAAATTTGAGTAAGTTTGACTTGGGGGGTGGGGTGGGTGCCTCCATAGCCCTAGGCTCAAAGTAGAAAGGAAACCTATTCAGAAAAGACTTCAAGAAGAGCCCCACCCACCACAGCTTTGCCCTGATGGCTGCTGGCCATCCAGATGAATCTATGGGTCACTGCCTGCCCTTTTCTCTGCCACCATACAGGGGCTTCTTAAGGTATATACTCTTTAACCTGCTCTAGCTTCAAGTTCTAGAAGAGCAGACTCCCTCGTTTACCCTCCCGGAAGGGGAAGTCCAGCTGACCTTAAACGTGTGCTTCCGGCTGATGTTATCTGAGGGCTGCACAGCTGCCACGCGGAAGCTTAGCAGGGGAATGCTGCCCAGGATGCTCTCCTCCTTCTCATCTGTCAGGGAAACAGAGAAAAGGGGTGGGTTTTTGTGTGTGTGTGTGTGTGTGTGTGTGTGTGTGTGTGTGTGTATGCGTGCGCGAGAGCATGCGTGTGTGTGCATGTGTGAGAACATGTGTATATGCACACACTCACGTGTGCTTGCACTTGCCCATGCATGTGAGCGAATGGTGCTGATGCAGAAGCAAGGGCAAGAAGCTCTTTAGCCTTGCTAGGATACACATCAGCGAATATTCCATGTATTCGTTTTGTGTCAGGCTGGTTCAATACCTTATTAGATCCAACACTCCTAACTGACCCACTAAGAGGCTCTACTATTCCCCCCATTGTCACGTGATATACTAAGTGATTTGTCCAGGTTCCTTAACCATTAAAAGTGGAATCAGTTTTAAAATTCGGGAAGCCCAACTCCAAAGCCAGCGTCCGTTACCCCTGTCTTATCTGTCCTGTGTTGATAAGCAGGACAGTTTCAATAGCAATACATAGAGAAGGAGGCAGGATGGAGGTACTTACTCCTTTGGGTAATGGTTTGGGTGTTTTTGCTGTGAGATGGGGCCCTGTGTGGCCTAGAATTTACTATGTAGCCCAGACTGGCCTTGTGCTAATGACTCTGCACCCTGGAATCCCCAATGACAGCATTGCAGCTGTGAACCACCACACTTTGAGGGTAACTCTTTCTAAGGTCTTGCTAGGCCTCCGTGGCCTGCTAGGCCCTTCCCTGCTATGGATGCCATTAAGGCCCCTGACCTCAACAGGAAGGCATGGTCCCAGGATCAGGCTACTATACAATTCATCCTAGATCTTGAAGGATTAATGCCAGTGTCCCAGCCACAGAAAACTGACTCATATGGAGCACCCTCAGACCATTCCTCTGTGGCTCATGAGCATCCTTTGGCATGCCCGGGCCTTCTCTTCAGAGACCCTGGCTCCTTCCTCAGTCCTGTCCCATGCTGGTTCTAGAGCAGGGAAATTTCTAACTCTTTAGTTCTAGACTTTCCTCTGTCCCTGTTCCTGTATTCACAGCCCCTGCTTGGCTATGACTCAGAAGAGAAGCTCCAGGGCAGAGGGTGAGCTGGTACAGCATGTGTTTGTCGAAGTTAATGATTGACCTCACTGCTCTCAGAAGGCGGGAGGAAACCATCACTGCAGGTAAGGGAAGCACACAGCCTCTCTCGTTTAGAGATCATCTCAATCTCTCTCTTCTCATCCCTCCTACCCCCTCCCCATGGCAGCAGCTTGATATGATGTCACCACTACTGTCATCAGTTAGCCTTTGCTTGGGTCGTCTGGGCTCACCCTGACACATGTTGCTGTGTACACTTTAGAGTAACTTCCTGGAAGAGACTGTGCCAGAGTTCATCAGATCTTTGTCCTCTGGTGGTGGGGCAGAGGAGCCTCGCGTGTGGTGACAGAGAGGGTAGAGGCCAGGACCATTTGTTTATCCAGTATTTCCTGAACATCTTCCCTGCAGCCCAGCTTTGAGTGCTGTGGACTTCACAGTAGACAAAATGGTAGAGAGTCTTATATGCCTGATCAGATTGCATATTCTGTTGGGCCAGGAGGAAAATCAACCTGAGGCTCCATGAGGAGGTGACTCACAAACAGTAACTAGTGACCTCCTCCTCCTCCTTGTCCTTTTCCAACCCTTACCCAGGAATCTCACCATGCAAATGTTGGCCCTGTTCAGCTGCTGTATCATCAGTTGGTACCCAGAACTGTTGCCTCCTGGGTAAGTATTTATGGCTAGGGATTGAATGAGCAGTGGATGAATCAGCTGTGATGCCCATTGCCACACCCCACTAGTGCTAGGAACCTGTGTGGAGAGACCCACCTTCCAAAGCAGAGCCCAACAGCAAGGCAGGATAAGACAGCGTGGTCCATGGCTGCCCCTGCCCCAGCGGCGCTGGGGTAAACTCACCTTTGTAGTAAAAGAGGCAGCGATCGACCAGGACAAACCAGCGCTTATTCCACTGCTTCACCCCGGAGCTGGCCTGCAGGATGCACAGAGAGACAGATGGGGAGGCCATGAGCTGGGAGAGGAGGCAGAAACAGCAAGAGAGCTCTGCACTAGTTACAAGGACAGCCGGGCTCCAGCCGCTAGCACGTGGCAGCAACTCCCCTGAGATCTCAGTCAGATGCTGGGAACTAACATCAGATTATTGCCTGTGACTTTCCAGTTCTGCCATTCTCAGGCTCTGGGCCCCGCTGGGGAGGATAAAGGGGGCAAAAGCTATCCCAGAATGAGTGAGTAGAAGAGCAGACAAGAATACAGCAGTGTCCCTCCAGGGAAAGTTGGTAAACTCCAGGACTTGAAGCCACCCCAGCCCCACACAGCAAGGGGGTGTGCAGGGAATGCACCATGAGTTGCTCTGATGGGATTAGTGAGCTGGCATATTTCAAAGTCATTGCATCGGCCCAGCAGGTGCATCAGCTTGAATCCCCAAATTTGATACTAGTTAACTTTGGGGAGGTTTTCAATTTCTCAGACCTTTATACAATTGGGAGACATTCAGAGACAACAGGAAAACATACCAAAGGACACGTGGGCTGCTGCGACTACAGAAGACTCACAATACTATGAAGAAAGTAGTGGCTGCAGTAGGCAACACGGCAGGGTGGCCTCACCTGTTTGAAGAGCCAGCCAGCCTTGGTGACAGGGGCACTGGGGTTCCTCTTCATGGAGTGTGAGCGCTTACCAAAGGCAATGGCTTTTCGGGAAGTTCGAGTTGCCTGGAGGGGCAAAGGCAGCGGTTAGCCAAACTCCCCTCCTCTCCTTACAGCTTTGTTGGCAAGGGAGCTGTCCTTGCTAATGGGCGTACCTCTCCAGTGGACCCCTGGTGCCCTCTCAATAAGAGGCCTGGTTGTGAGGCTTTGACCCTCTACTAACTCAAGGGTGTGGCCTTTTAGTTCTTTGGATCTTCTGATCTCGAACATGAGTTTCAACATACTAGTTGTTGCATAGTTTTTGTCTTTTCTTCTTGGTGGAAAGAAAATAAGATTTCTGAGTTTCCGCTTCCAATTTCTCTTTTATATTTATTTACTTTGTGGGAGGCACATGCAAGCCATGGCGAGTTTGGAAGTTAGAGACCAATCTGCAGTCTTAGTCCTCTCCTTCCACCAGGTGGGCTCTGGGGATCAAACTCGGGTCATTGGGCTTGGCCGCAATTGCCTCCCTGACTCCAAGCATCCAGCAGGCCCCAGTTTGCTCTTTCTTTTGTCCCCCTACTCTCCTCACAGCCACCTCTTGCACAAAGCTTCTGGCATGCACACAGCTTCCCCCCATCATCCCCTCCGCATCCTGTCCCTGTCTCACACCAGACAGTCCACAGAGCCGGGAGGGTAGACAGTGCTCCTGGCTCGTCACTGCCATGTGGTGACATCACTCCCGTGTCTGGCAATGCCAATCTAATTTCCTTGAGCACTGTTAACGACCTTTCAGCTTAACCCTTCTCCTCACCGTCTGCTCCCGGAGCAGACTGCTGTGTTTGTTTGCATTTATTTTGTTCTGTTTTTAGTCTAAGGATTTTGGTGTCATCCTTTTCACCGTAAGACTTGCAGTCACCTCGGGACACCTCACTACTCTTGAGTATGGCCCACCCAATGCTCCTTTATATGACCTTATGTCCTCAACGCCACACCATGCACGGAGAACCCAGCTACTCTTGGGACTGTCTCCCAGACCCTGCCAGCACCCCAAGCCACCTCACCACCTTCAACCCTACAGGAACACTTTCCAGTCACAACACTTTATTTTCGGGGCTTTCTCCCCTGACTCCTCAGCTCTCCCAGCCTTTCTATTCACCCAGAGGTCAGCTCTTCACCCTTCCCTCTTTGCTGGATCCACACTCTACTTCCTGGTTTGTTGTCCATCCAAGCCAGTCTCAAAAACCCCACCTGCTGGCTTCCTGCTTCATCTTTTCTGAAACTCAATATTCCAAATGAACCAAATCACTCATGTCTTCTGTGAACTCTCAGGAATTAAAATACTATTGAAGGAGCTGGCAGTGGCGCTCTTACTGCACACACACGAGGTCACCAGAGACCTTCAGTCCCCAACCCCAGTTGGGATGAGACCCGAACAGCAACTCCACTTCCCTCTCACACTGTCTTCCCAAGTCTCCCCACCCTCCAACCCTTTCTCTCCCCTGTTCTTACAGCCAGGCTCTGTACACCCAACTCAGGAAACCGTAGCTGTAGGACGTGCACTTCCTCAATTTCATAGCCTTTTACCTAGACAATTGCTGCCTTCACCACCACCTTTGCCTTTGAAAGAAGCATCGCTCTCCTTGCCAAGGGTGATGCTTGTGATCCCCAGCCTCCTCAGATGCTGCCCCACTGACTGTCTCCTCTCAAACCTGCCCCTAAGAGGCAGGGGTGCAGTTCAGCAGTAAAGCACTTGTTCTTGCCTACTGTACAGAAGACACCTGTTTCCAAGCTGGCGGCGGTGGTGCACACCTTTAATCCTAGCACTTGGGAGGCAGAGGCAGATGGATCTATGTGAGTTCAAGGTCAGTCTGATCTACAGAGCGAGTTCCAGGACACCCAGAGCTGTTACACAGAGAAACTGTGTCTTAAAAAAAATAGACAGCAGTTTCCATCCCTGGCAACACCCCCCCCACACACACACACATGTTTGCACACTCACCATATTAAAAACAGTTAATTTTCTCAGCTGTGCTCATCACATAGGAGAACTGAAATTTCTCTGTACACACAGAAGACCAGGTCTGCAATATCTGGCTGGGTCTTGACCAGATTTCTGCGCCTTAGTGCACAGGCCCTATCTCTCCCTCACCCCCATCTTCCTGTGCTCCCTCATGGGGTAAGGCTATCCTCCCTCTTCCACCAACTCCAGACTTAATCTCTGAAGTCCAGACAGCCTCCCCCTACACTACAAAACTGTCCCAGGGACCCACACAGATGAGCACATACTCACACAGACACAGACACACATCATTAACATAAATATACATTTTTAAAAGGCGGGTGCTGCAGGAGCCTGAAATTTCAGCAGTAGAGAGAAAGGGACAGGAAGGTCCCTGGAGCTTCAGTGAGTTCCATGCTCAGTGAGAGACCCTGGCTTAAAAAATACGGTTTGATAGTAAACAAGGAGGACCCTAAAAGAGACAAACATTGTCCCCTGGAGAAGGGGAAAGGATCAAGATCCCCTAAGCAAATTGAGAGCATGGGAAGAGGGGGGAGGGAGCTACGAGAATGAGAAGGGAAGAAGAGGAGGGATGCAGAGGTCATGAGGGAGCAGAAAGGTTGAGTCAGGTGTAGATTAGAAGAAAGGATATGTGATAGGTAGGGTTTTACTTGGGGGGGGTGGTAGGGGAGGACGGGAGGGAGAAGGGAACTGGGATTGTCATCAAACAATCAATCTTGTTTTTAATTCAAATAAAAAAATGATTAAAAAAATAAGATTTGAAAAAGCACATGAAGATGACACCTGACATCTCTAGGGTCCACAGACACGTGCATCCCACGTGTACCCCATACACACTCTCCCTCTCACACCCCCATAAACATGCAAATCAAAAACACCGTTCTGAGCTATTTCAAGTGTTTCAGAAAAGCAGGAGATGTCACTACAATCATTCCTTTCTGTTGCTGTTGTTTTTCCCCTAATAAGAAAAGGCAAGTAGAGCCAGGCCTCCCTTTGAGTTCCTCTCCATCTTGTTACCTTTCTCTTCCCCAAAGGCAGCCACTGACCCAAAATCAGTCTTCTGTCCCTGGTTATACACTTGTGCGGCAGAATGGCTATAAATATGCAGCCCCGCTCTTCATCTTTGTACACTTTACATAAGTGATATATGTCTCAGAGTCTGCAACTTGCACAGTTGTGTTTCCAATGCACCCTTGTTCGCACACAGACACACACGCGGTTTAGGGAGAGTGCTCTGCATGAACACACTGCAGTCGGGGGACCCCTCTCTTAGTGGTTTCCCCTGCCTTTCTCCATCTCCTCTCCCATGCCCTCTCAACCTTCTGTGCTCATCACCTCTCAAACTGCTTGTTGTCAAAGTCTGTAAGTTCCACAGTCACTGAGCCCAAAGGACACATTCCACCTCCTTCTCTATGGATGACTTCTTCTTCTTCCCAGGGTCCCCTTTCCTTCTCCTCCCATGCTGACCCCCACCCCCAGTCATCTCATCTTTCATGAGAGATCCTTCTGCTGTCCCCTGAGATCAGTGGTCCTTAAGAGAGTGAGAGATTTTGTCTCCAGTGGACACTGACAACAGCTGCAGACATTTTTGGCCGTGACAACAGGAAAGGTGGTCCTATGGGCATCTAGCAGGCAGAGGTCAGGGTGCTGCTTGACAGCCTACACTGCTAGAAAACCCCGCCCACAAAGTGTCAGTCTCAAATACTAGTAGGGCTGAGGTAGAGAACCTTGTGTGTGGAGCCCCATCTTCTGTGAGGCGCTTGTCTGGCTTTCTTCCCTTCCGCTCTGCACTGGGTTCCTGTACCTTCTTGATTGCCCACTGGAGCCTACAGATGTGCTGGTCAGCAAGGATTTCCCTAGAGATCCTGTGATCCTCCTAATTGACAACATTTCCTGTTTGACAGCTTGCCTAGAGGCCTGGACTTACCCGGTTGTTGGGCCGCTCTGGAGGAACTTCTGACACCATGTTGTTGGAGTTGTCGTTGATGGTAGCAGAACGTTTCCCACCTGTTTTGTTGGACATGTCCAAGGCCGATCTGAATTCAAGTCAACAAACAAACAGAGGGAAACTAGTCAGAGCCATGAAGCAACGGAAAGCACTAAGCCTGCCCCTGCCCTGCCACCCACTGTCCCAGCCTCAGCACCAAGTCCCAGCCTGAGGTGCAGCTCAGAAGTTATCTCAGCGGCTCCTTCTGGGATAATCTCCCATTTCTTCTCTGTTCATTTATGGATGTGGCTTGTGTTTTGTTTGTTTGTACGTTTTGGTTTTTTGAGACATGGTCTCTCTGTGTAGCTATGGCTGTTGTGGGACTCAATCTACAGACCATGCTGGCCTCGAACTCACAGAGATCTGCCTGCCTCTGCCTCCCGAGTACTGGGATTAAAGGTGTTCACCACCACCACCCAGATGGCTTGTTGTTTTAAAGTTAGGGTCTCACATAGACAAGACTGGCCTCAAACTCACTATGTAACTGAGAGTGATCTTGTACTCTTGATTCTCCTGCATCTTCGTACCAAATTCTAGGATTATAGGCATGTGCCACCCCATGTGGCTTTCTCCTGTTTAAAAATCTAGACTCTGAGATAATAGACTACCCATTGCTCTCATCTTATTTTGAGTCAGGGTCTTACTATACAGGCCTGGCTGGTCTTGAAACCAAGATCCTCTAGCCTCAAGCTCCCAAGAAGCTGGGATCACAAGCATGTAACCACCAGGCCTGCGTCCTTCTATTTTAAAGGTTCAACAGCATACATAAAGCCATGTATGTGATCCCAGAGGGAGGGCAATTCATTGATCAAAGGCAGTCGTGGCAAAGGACAGAAAGCAAGCAGAAGGAAACTTACGGTTTCAGGTTAAACTTTTTGTTCTCCTCTGGGTCCTGGCCAGTCACTGGGTGTTGAAATGTGTTGCGTCTTTCATTGTGACTGCAGAGGACAAAGAGGGGAGAAAGCTGCCATCAGCTAGGGAGGGCAGAGTCACAACACAAAGGATGGGAAACCACAGAAGGAGCTGTGGCTCTGTCCCCCAGTGGGACAGGGGAATGGTTGGGCAGAGTACAGGATGATGCAGGTGGGTGGGGTCAGGGAAAGAGAGAATACAGCCTGGTCACCTCTCACTGGTTCGGGGTTAACCACCTGCTGGAGATCCCAGGCTGTCAGCAAGCTATACTCAATGCATTCAGTGGATGGGAGGGAGGCTGAAATGGGGCTTTCCAAGCCTGAGTTGGACACAGTCGAGATTTCATGCAGCAGTTTCCCTCCCAGGGACAGCGCCTGCCAGTGCTCCCCACAGAAAATGCTTGCTCATAATTGGCTGAAAGAACTCCCTTGTGACCTTGGACTCCTCTCCTGCTCTAAGCACCATCTCTTTCTTCAAATGTGTCAGGAAATTCGGAAAGTCCATGATTGAGCTTGGGCTGGGTGTTGTAGAACCACCAGGGTCTATCAAGCAGTAAGGTCAGAGCTGGCCTAACAGTTGTACCTGACTGAGGGCTGCTATGGCTCAGAGAGAGGTTGGGTGTTGAGCTGAGAGCCTGCCAGGTAGCTGGGGGAGCAAGTCCCAGGGGTTGGGAATGAGGCAGACAGGAGCATCAGGAGAAGGTGCCTGACAATGTCAAGCCAGCTCCTGGGTGAGCTCTCAGGGGACATGCAGAAGAGAAGCAGCAGAGCGCTCTTCCAGGGGACCACTCGGTAAGTGGGGACCACTTGGCGAGTATGTGATAGTGTCTAGCCCACAGGGTGAGCTAAAGGTCCTCCTCCCTGACACCTCTTCAGAAATAGAGAGCCCAGCTCAGGCTCCAGCTGACCGTAAGAGCCAGTCATGGGGATAGAGACTGCTAAAGGCACTTAAGTACTCTGCTCAGTCAACCTCAGGCCAGCCAGCACCTTAGCTAAGTGTGCTTAACTTGGTCCTTCCACCTTCTCCCACTACCCCAGGATACATCCCAGCCCTCAGGATGCCAGCCGAAGCTAAAGATAATATCAAAGGATGCTTTCTTTTCTGCCCAACCAGTGCTGTTCAGATCAAACCCAGTATGCAGGAGAAAGAGGCACAGCAGGCAACCACTTCAACCTCTTTGGAGATCTGGAGTTTGTAGCTTGAACTGGACCTAAAACTTGACCAGCATCCATCAGGCCTGAGTTTAAACTTCGCACATTGGTAACCACCCTCTGGTTCCTTAGTTAGGCCCTCCCCATTCCTTAATTTTATAAGGATGCTCCCTCGATTCGATCACAGGGAATCTTTGCAAGCAGAAGTACCAGCCTGTCACCATTGTCCTCAGGCTTTGGCTCCCAATAAGGCTGAGGGCAGCAATCTGGGACAACAAAGGTCCTTAAAATGCCAAATTCTCTGTTTTGCCCTATGTGTGGCGTGCCTACCTGCTTCCCACCCACCCTAGCCCTCCAGGCCCCTTCTGCTCTGTGTTCCTGGGAGCACCCTGCAGGCAGTAGTTCAGACAGTCGCACACAGAAGCAGTCCGCTGTTGCCCAGCTCAGTTTTCCAGGGCATGGCACACCTCTCCCAGGCCTGAGCCTCCTACCCAGCAACCCTACAAACAATGCCCTCTTTCCACCAACTGGTAACAATTTCAAAATAGCCTTCTCTCCACAGGCACTGCAATGCAGTAGCTACTGACCTAACTACTCTCCTCTCAGGTCATGGTCATCTTCAGCAGACCCCTTACCGCCAAACCCTGGATTCAAACAGGAGAGCAGCCAATTCGGCCTGCTCTGATTTCACTAGGCTCATGGTCCACAGAGGAAATTCCTACCTCACCCGTCGATCAGCCCGAAACTTCAACATCTTTTTGGAAGCTCAGTCCCCAGTTCGGCAGCCTTAGAGGAGCCACCAGCCACCCTGCTGCTACCATCCCTCTGAGAAGTAAGTCCTTGGTTCCAACTCTTAATGCTGTGGCAGAGATGCAGGGCGGGCTAGGGCAGGTTCCATGGGTTGTCCTTTCTCCTGGCGCTAGCACTGGAGAACAGGGACAGGGCTCCCTGTGGACAACGGGAGGGGTTGCCCAGGTGCCCTAGGGGGCCTGTGGCTTCCTAGCATTCGCCTGAGATGCTACTGCTAGAGGGCCGGAGGCAGAATAAATGAAGAAGAGAGGACCTCCTCCCAGTTCGGGTTCCAAAGAAGGAAAAGCAGAAACGGAGAGAGGTATGCACGGAGCAGGTGTACGGCTTTCAGGTAGTCCGACCTCACTGAGCTAAGGACACCGAGCAGCTGGGCGGGTGGAGGAGCATGGGCTGCATTCCCATCTGCACAGAAACGCATGCCAGCCCGACCTGCAGGGAGACGGTGCTCCAGCCTCTCCAGCTCCCAGCCCAGACACAGGCTCTGGGGCTGCAAACCAACTTGCTTCTCAGAAACCTTCCAAGCCCTTCTGAGGGTTAAAGCATGCTTCCGGTTCATTGGCTGTTATTGTTGCTGTTGCTGAGAAGCTGAGGAGAATTGAAGAAGTCTCCGTTCCCTCCTCTCAGCCTGTCCAGCTTTCATCTGTACAGACAGGAGCAGCTGTACAACCGGCCTGACACACTCCCCTCTCCAGCAGCACGGCTCACTTGCCCTCCGTGGGTGCTGGCCCAGCTGGTAAGACGCTGGACATATGCAGCCCGAGCGGGATGGGCGGGATGTTTGTGGAGCCCCAGCTGCTGGCAAAGATCAGCTTCTTTACTCAGAAGTGAAAGGGAACCTTCCTCCCGAGGCTGGTGAGGAAGAGGGCAGGGAACGGGGCTCGAGGTGGGGTCATTGTATATCTATTGCTGCAAATCTTCCCAGATGCCAGATGATAAATTCCAGCTGGTGACGGTCAGATCTGCTCGGCTAGAAGGTTTGCATGGATGCGAATTCCCCCGAATAGGTCAAGGCTAGTCAAATCTCCTCTTTCTCACCGGCCTCTGTGCTTTAGGATTCTTGGGCTGCAAGGCCTTCTGAAGGTCACCTCCTCATCCCCCTGCCTCCAGACAAGCTTATTCTCTTATCTATCAGTCCTCGTAAGAGCCTTGGAGGTTTGTCAAGGACTCCAGCAAAGGAGGACCCAGGCTCAATGTCATCTTAAACAGCCACCATACTCTTCCTGATACTGTCTCAGCTCCTCTGCCTTCTATGTGCTGCTACTTCACATGACAGCTTCCTTTCTGACCAAGGTGCTTCTTTTTGCAGCACCGGGCATTGTGTTGACATCATAGTCTGTTATTATGGCAACTCTGTGATATCACAGTAGACACTAAAAGGGCAGGACTGATCTAATTATTTGGACCGAGGTCAGAGGAACAATGGGATCAGTAAACAGAAAAATAAATGGACAGCATTATTATTTAACCCATGAAGAGATGAATTGGCCAGGTGTAACCAGGGCCACGACTGCTGATATTTAAACAGCTAATCCTAAATCCAAAAGGTCAACATATTCAGTCAGTTAGTGGGGCTTTGGTCATTGATTTATCTTGGTGACAGGAGACCTTAGGTCTGGGGTTGAACCTGTTTCGAGTTACTTGAGCCTTCTCCAGATGCCTTCTTGAGTTCCCTGTCTGCCCATCACGGGTACTCAATAAAGTTTTGTTGAATGAACAAATGAATAGATAAAAGAGACTTCCAGTGCTCTGGTGTCATTTTTAGCCACCTGAATTTGAAAGTTGATATTCTGTTACCAAGGGCTTCCCTATCTTAGCTCTCGCTCTCTCACAATTAATTACTTCCTCTCCGGGAGGGAGGCTCTGTTTCTGTCCCTTCGCCCCCTCACTCAGCTTCCCTGACTGGATCCCCCTGAATATATAGCTTGGCTTTCATCCATCTTCATTAAGAGAAGAAGAAAATTAAGCTCATCTGAACAGGAGGAAGGGGGGGTGTATTGAGAAAATGAGTTTTCTTCCTCTAGGAGGCAAAAATATCCCCCTTCTCTTCAAACTGAGCTCAGGGGCCTCCCACAGCCTTTGCTCAAGTTAAATTACTTCTCTGGTACCATGTGAAGGCATCACAAGGGATGGGGATGGGGGACACAGACTCCTGTGCACTGAGAGCCCCCAGATCCTCAGGGTCAAGTCAGAACACAGCAGGCCTGGCTGGGGCTCCTCACCATTACCCTGCACAGAATAACAGTTTTCTTTTTAAGTAAGGCAGCAGGAAAAATTTACCAGGCATAGAATTAATCATTTTTTTCCTCCTCTATACCTCCTTTAGGGATGTCAGAACCTTCCCCTTCTCAAGGGTAGATGCCTAAGACCAGACCCAAGGTGACCTTTCAAATCCCACTCCCCTAAAAGTGAGAGACTCAGGAAGAAAAGACTTAGCGACTGAACAAAGAGCACCCTTGATCTCCAGAGTTGCCCAAGAGGTGGTCACTTCTCTACTGGGCCTACGAGAGGGCTCACTTGGGAGTGCCATGAGCAGAAAGGGAACTGGGCAGGTCAGTCTTCACTGTGGGCCGAGTCAAATCTGCAGCATGGCCTCAGTTGTTTAGACCTTAGTTTGCTCATGGGCAAACAAGGCCTCTTCTAATTCTGTGAATTAATTCCTGCAAACTTGCAGTGTGAAATGTTTCATGCACAACACAGGATGGCTATGCATATTATGCTTGAAAATGATCAAGAAATACGCTGAGTGCACAAGTGAGAGTGAGGAAACCAAGAACAGAGTCTAGAACAGTGCTCAAGATTTGGGCGGGGTGGGGGACGGGCATTCCACAAGTATCAAGACACATTCCCTCCACCTTATTAGGGTACTTCTGTGGTTCAAGACATCCTCATCTTCTATGTGGTGTGCACCTAGCACCATACAGTTAAAACCAAGTCTTCATCTCCCTGAGCAAGCATGTATGCACACGAGCAAGCACACAAGTGCACACACACACACAGACACACAGACACACACAGACACACACAGACACACAGACACACACAGACACACACACACACACACACAG